AATTTTTTAAAAATATTTAAAAATGATGCTCTTCTTCCTTCTCAAAAAATTTTAAAAAATCTAAAGATTTCTCAAGAATTATTTCAAAGCCCCATCTTCGACTACAACTTTGGGAACATTTTAACAATATTTACGGTGATTCTAAAAAATCGTCATTAACTCTGAGGAACATGTTATAATCCATGCCTATATGATGATTAAAAAAATGATAAAAAATCCAAAAAATTCCTAAATACTTTTCAAAAAAGAAAAAAAAAATAAAAATTAAATCCTATAACTCTTATGATCACTCAAATAAAACTAAAAAATCCAGTCTTATAAATATATAGGATTCTGCGCCAATAACTCTGATGATGCATAATAAAAATAACTCCTATATCTCTTATGACCCTAATATAAAAAATCAACAACTATAACTCTATTAATGCCATTAAAAAAAATATCTCCCATAACTTTGTTAACTTAAAAAAAAAATATTTAAAAATTCGTGTTTTTATGATTGTTCAAAAAATATTTAAAATGCGTGACTATAATTCTGATAATTTTTCAAAAAAAAAAAAGTAAATCAAAAATCCACTCCTATAATGAATGATTTAAAAAAAAAATATTTAAAATTTCACTCCTATAACTCCTATGATCATTAAAAACAAGTAAAAAAACATTAAGTTCGGCCGGGCCAAACTTTTAATACCCTCCACCTTAGGGTAAAAGAAACATTAGAAGAAATGTGACAAAAACCATTAAAATGCCGAATATCGGGAGGTACCGTTATATGGGGGCTACACCAAAACGTGGACCTATAATTACAATGTTTCGCTACACGAACTAGGACCCATTATGACCCACAAATACCAATTTTTAGACAAATCAGTGAAAAAATGTGGCAAAAACCATAAAAATACCTAATATCGGGAGGTACTGTTATATGGGGGCTATACCAAAACATGGACCCTTACATGCAATGTTTCGCCACCGGAGCTGGAAACCATTATGACCCACAAATACCAATTTTTAGACAAATCCGTGAAAAAATGTGGCAAAAAAACTAAAATACTGAATATCGGGAGGTACCTTTATATGAGGGCTATACCACAACGTGGACCTATACATGCAATGTTTTGCCACACGCTCAGGGACCCGTTTTGACCTACAAATACCAATTTCCAGACAAATCTGTGAAAAAATGTGGCATAAATCATCAAAATACCAACCATCCTAGACACAATGCAAATAGCTCTGCTAAATTTTGACGCTCTACGTCAAATAATGTGGGCTGTATCGTGATTTCAACAGACAGACGGACAGACAGACAGACAGACGGACATCGTTCAATCGACTTAGAATTTTATGCTGATTATGAATATATATACTTTATGGGGTCTAAAACGAATATTTAAGGATGTTACAAACGGAATGACAAAGTTAATATACCCTCCTTTCCAAGGTGGAGGGTATAAAAATATTTAAAAAACACGTCTACAGCCTGAGATAGAATAAGTTTAGATTTGTTCGAATTGGTCACCTGTGGCACGAATTATGGCCTTCAAACGGCCAATGAAACCGTCACACTCTGCCTGAATGTTGCACTGCGGTATTTTGGCCTATTCCCGGCGAAGCGCTTGCTTGAGGTGATCGACACTTTGGTATTTTTTAGTGCCAACCTTGCCTTCCAAAATACTCCAGAAACAATGGTCCAACCGATTGGTATCCGGAGGTTTTCGTGGTCATTGTGCGCTGGAAATGAAGCGAGAAACCTCATTTTGTAACCATTCTTGGGTGGCGCGTGCTGAGTTCTGTTGGAATGGCCAAGGTCTGCGGTCAAAATGTTTGTGTGCCGAAAGCTTTAATACACCCTCCATAATATTTTTGCGATAATATTCGGCATTTATTCTGATGCCACATTCGATTAATACGAGCGGAGAGCAACCATCGGCTGTTATGGCGGCCCACACCTACACCATGACCGGCGCTCGAGTTCTGGTGGCCAACCGAAGGTGCATATTTTCAGTTGACCTCTTTGGCTAGTAAATACGATCATTTTGTTTGTTTACAAACTGCTGGACAACGAATGTTTTCTCATCAGAGAAAACCAAATTCGGCAGTGCAGTTCACCACTTTCGCTCCTTTGAGTCTATTTTCTTTCTGTCGCGGTGTAAGTTCTTGCACTTTTTGGAATTTCAATGGCTTTACCCCGACCTTATTTTTCAATATTTGGCGAATGGAATATTGCGATATGTTCACCTCACGTTCAGCCATTTTCGGCCACTGCTTCGCGGGTTTCGATCCAGTCGCTTCTTTACTTTTCGAACCATTTCTGCCGATATTGCTTTTTTCTTCATTTCATTTTCACGTCGTCAATTTGCTTGACGTCGGGCTACGTCTCTAGTATCATGGTAACGAGCGATGTTACGAGACTAAAAAGATTTATTCAAATTTAAATGCTGGAGTGTTCTAACGATAGCCACTTGTGGTTTTCCAGCCAAATATAAAGAAATCACACTATCACGCTTGAATTCCATCACGAATAATTTTTTTTTCTGGAAAATTCTCACCAAAATGCTTTTGTACGCTTGTAAACAATATAATGAGCTGTCACTGGAATAATTTTAAGAGCTGTCGGACGAGTTGGTTAGAAATGACAGCAGTCTGAAGTTGGTTGCAGTTTTTTCATCATGTTCACCCAACACCAAATTGTTTCTAATATAGTATTGTTCAGTACTTTTCGTGCATTTGTAGTACTCATTTCCAAAACCTCCTATTTATCACAAACCTACCCCCGCATGGGTCCCAAAACAAATTTCAAAAATTTCAGCTTCATCCGTTCACCCTAACCCGAACTCCTACAAACTTAATATCATTTAGTACAGTTTGCACACTTCGTACAGATTACAAAAATCGCCTTCATATATCAAACTTTCATTCCAAACCTAGTTTTTCATACAAAATTTCTCTATTCGATCACAAAATCCCGAATAGTACCATTTTAGAAGATTAGTGACATTTTAGAATACTTCCTAAATTTAAAGTTCAAATTTCCAATAACCCTTTGGCGCATCCATCCATTCCACTCCATCATTGACTCTCTTTCCAAATTTCAGAATTCCAGTTCCATCGGTTCATCGCAATTCCAATTTGCATCAAATTTAGTGCCATTTAGTACGCATTAGTACGAATTCTTAATTCCTATATACCCCAATCTAACACTCCCACAATAATCTTTATTTAAAATTTCACGTTGCCAGCTCTATTGGTTCACTCAAATCCAAATTGAACAAATTTAGTACCGCTTAGTACACATAAGTTCGGATTTCCGTAATTTCCTACTTCCTACAATTCAATAGAAATCTTATTTCCAGATTTCAGTATTTTAATTCAATCGGTTCTCCCAAAATTTAAATTGTACCAAATTTAGTACCATATAGTACACATAAGTACGAATTTCCATAGCTTCCTACATACCCCAATCCTACACACCAAAGGTAATCTTAATTCCAAATTTAAGGATTCTACTCTTATCAACTTGTCCAAATCCTCCCACCGGTTCTCCCAAAACGTAAATTGTACCAAATTTAGTACCATTTAGTACACATAAGTATGAATTCTCAACATTTCCCACATACCCCAATTCTAGTAGACGTATTTCCGAATTAAAAGATTCCAACTCTATCAGTTTACTTAAACTTTAAATTGTACCAAATTAAGTACCATTTAGTAGACATACGTACGAATGTAAAAAACTACCTCGGATCTATACCTCAGTCCTAAAATGCAATAGTAATCGTATTTTCAAAATTTAAGGATTCCAACTTTATCGGTTCTTCCAATACTTAAATTGTACCAAATTTAACACTATTTAGTACACCCAAGTACGTGTTTCCAAAACCTCCTACCTGTCCATAAGTACGATTTTCCAATCAAACTACATTCCTCAGTCCTAGAATGCAATAGTAATCTGATTTCTAAATTTCAGAATTCCAGCCCTATCAATTCACCCAAATTGAAATTGTACCAAACTTAGTACCATTTAGTACGTTTCGTGCAAATAAGTACGAATTCTCTCTATATCCCAATCCGACTCTCCGCCAGTAATGTTAATTTCAAATCTGAGGATTCCAGCTCCTTCCGATCTTCCAAACTCGAATTGTACCAAATTTAGTACCATTTAGTACTTTTCGCATACATAAGTACACACTTCCAAAACTACCTCCTAACATCGACCGTACTCCTCAGCTTTGATTCCCATTCCAAATTTCAAGTTTTTAGTTCTTATCGTTCACATGATACGAAATGGTACATTTAAGTACTTTTTGCACACTTATAGTGCGAATTTCGAAAAGCCATTTGGTACATCCATTATACACTCCATCGGTGACCCTCATTCCAAATTTAAGAGTTGTAGCACCACTGGTTCGTCGAATATAAAGGGGGAATCTATTTAGTACGTTTTAGTACTTTTAGTACCATTCTAGTACGAATTTCCAAAAGTCTTATTTGAAACCTTAGGATCACCCGAAATTTCAAGATTCTAGTTTCAGTCGTTTCGTCTGGGTGTTGATTCTGATATTTCACTACCCCAAATTCAGGAAAATTTAGTACTTTTTAGTACTTTTCGTAATATTCTAGTACGAATTTCCAAAAACCTTATCTGAAACCTTAGAATCAAAATTCCTTGAGGAATATCGGAATCACAAGAAACATTTGAGTACCTTTAAAACTTAGAGAGCAGCTATTCTTGAATTTGGAGTAGTGAAATATGTGACTGACTGACCTAGAATCAATGCTCAGACGAAACGGCTGAAGCTAGAATCTTGAAATTTTAGGTGAAGGTCACTCTAAAATTTCAAGATTCTAGCTTAAGCCGTTTCGTCTGAGCATTGATTCTAGGTCAGTCAGTCACATATTTCACTACTCCAAATTCAAGAATAGCTGCTCTCTAAGTTTTAAAGGTTCTCAAATGTTTCTTGTGATTCCGATATTCCTCAAAAATAAACTTAAATAAGAAATATTAAAAATGATATATTTGTAAGTGCGTATGTATATAAAAAAAAGATCGTATTTTTTTTTTTTGAATTCCTCTCTTCAGTCTCTTTCATCTCTCGCTCTAATCACTTGTTTGACATATCAGGGCAGCACTTCTTTTCACCCAATGTGACGGTTTTATGTTCGTATTCAAAAATACCGGAATAACATAATTCGTTGAGTGACCAGTGGTGGATAGAGTTCCCTTACGTTCGGCAGTCTTGTAGAGAGGACTCTTATAACGATTGCCCGCCTTGAGATCATAAATTGTGGTGGGTATCAGATAAATTGCTGGCATTGGATAGATCAATACTTTGGGCAGTTGTTCATCCAGGACCTTCTCTTGCCAATTCCAACGAGCCCCCTCCAGAAAGAGGCCATTGATATAGACACCATCATCCGGCGGTTCATTTCGATGTTCAACATCCAACACCTGGTGGTCAAAGGTCAGCGTGTCAATGGGTATTTTATATTTTCGGGCATAATTTTGCATGGCTCCCGTGAGAAAGGCCTGGGTGAAGAAGAATCCTGATATCCAAAAGGTGGGTGGTTTGTTGTTGTGGTGCCTGCAATTATTTGGAAAAAAAATAATATTTTTTTATTTTGTGTTTAGGTCTCCATCTTACCAATCATGCAACCAATTAAGCCTCTTAAACAAATCCTGTATGTACGAGGCCAAGGGTTTCAAACTTGGATATGATTTCTTCATCCACTTGGCCGGTATGCGATTCAATTTGATGGCATTGATAACACCTTCCAATTCTGGGGTCATAACAATAATACCATGCACCGCTTGCTCAATGTCGCGACATGATGTCCGAATCTCCAATTGCAGTTTCAAAAATCTCTCCATTTCCTGAGTAATAACCGTGTTCATAGATTCATTATAATCCACGGGGTATTTCTTCTTGGCCCCCTCAACATCCATATTGTCCGGCATATTGGAGACAATGTCTCTCACCGTTTCCAACAACTGTTGATCGGCATTTTGTGAGCCACCACCACCGGAAGTAACCTCACTGCCCAATATCAAAATCATCGAATCCATTAGGGTTTTGGTAGTTTGTAAATCTCGTGTTATACCCGAATTGGCGTGCAGACCATAAACTTCGGGTGCCGCCAGGCTGGGATAATTTTCATCGACGTAACGTAAAATTTCCCGGTGCTCGGTTTTTCGCGGCACTGTGAAACTGTCGTCGGTGGCAAATTTATAGCGATTGTCGGTGACCACCTCGTGATTAACATAATCGGCTAGAATTGTGACAATTGCCCGACGATCCCAGGTATCGGTGACACGACCACCATAATTACACTCAGCCGTCAGATATCCAATGGCATCATAGGGAACATGGTCGTATTGGTTCAGCAGCATCTGGGAGGAAGGAAAGAAATAATTACAATTTTGGATTCTGGACATCAATTGCTTCATTCCATTTCCACACCAGACCTTCGGTTAATGAAAATATTGTGATGTGTGTAATTTGAAGGGAACCAAATGCTTGTTTCGGATTTTCTGATTATTTCGGTTATTCAAAACTTTGACCCTTTGTGGGGAAGGTACCAGAGGGAATGATCTCTACCATCTTTATAACACAACTTGTGTTAATGAAAATATTGAGATGCGTCTGAATGGAATCGGATGTAAATTTATGAGCTTCAAGAATATTCACAATTTTGGCCCTTTGTAAGGGAGCTACCAGAAGGAGTGGACCGATATATTTCACCTTCCCAACAGACCTTCGATTAATAAAAATATTGTGATGTGCGAAATTTGAAGGCAACCGGACTCTTACATCACATTTTATAAAACTTATATTTATTCCAAATTTTGACCCTTTGTGGGGGAAGTACCAGATGGAGTGAACGAATATTGTTTATTTTCATACCAGACCTAGAACTGATGCAAATATTAGGATTCGCAAAGTGAGAGCAAAATAGGATTATCCTCTCTCTCTCTCGCTTTCTGTGCAGTAAAATATTTTCTTTGAAAATTTCGATCTTTTGTGGGGGAGGTACGAGAAGGAGTGGACCTATATTTTTCATCTACGAACTCGATCTATATTGGATAATAATATAACGATGGACCAAATCGGATACTCCCTTCGAGAGTTATCGTGAGCACCAGTCAGACGGACGAACATCGCTAGATCGACTCCAAATGTCCTGAAACGGATTTAGTCCAAAGACCTAGGGCCTCAAAGGCATTTTTGGCCGTATTAAATGATATATACCCTCTCTAGCGATATGACTGAGAGTATAAAAAGACGATTCGCCAATGCCCAGTCTTAACTGCTACAGCGAGGGTCACAATTAATTCGAAAAAGTTCGATAAGCCTGGGTTTTGGGAAATTCGCGCTAGAACGGTACGAAAAGTATTAAAAGGTACTAAATATGGCATCCTTCGTATTTGAGGAAGCAGTACAGGTAGAACTCTTTAATTTGGAATGTGAGTCATTGATGGAGTGTATGATGGATGTACTAAAGGGTTTTGGAAAATTCGTACTATAAGTGTACGGAAAGTACTAAAATGTACTACATTTGGTACCATTTCGTATCATGTGTGAACGGTTAAAGCTAAAAACTTTTAATTTGGGAATGGTCGACGTAAGGAGGTAGTTATGGAAGTGTGTACTAATGTATACGAAAAGTACTAAACGGTACTAAATTAGTACAATTTGAATTTGCAGGAACGGATGGAACTGGAATTCTAGAAAAAAAATTAAAGATTGGGATATGGAGGTAAGAGTAGTTTTCGAAATTTGCACCTATGTGTACGAAAAGTACTAAATGGTACAAATTGGGGTGAACCGATAGAGCTGTAAAGCTGAAATTTGAAAACAAAGATTATTATTGCATTGTACGACGGGTTTATGTAGGTATTTTTGGAAATTCGTACTTATGTGTACAAAATGGTACAGAATTTGGTACAATTTAAATTTTGGGAAGAACTGGCCGAGTTGGAATCCCGAAATTTGGAAATAAAGCTTCTATTGGATTGAATGATGTAGGTAGTTATGGAAATTTGTACTTATGTGTACTAAATGGTACAATTTGGATTTGTATGGACCAATTGGGCTGGTATGCTAAAATTTGGAAAAAAAGATTATTGTCGGAATGTAGGTTTGGGACATACAGTTTTTTGGAAATTTGTATTTGTATGTACTAAATATTGTACAATTTGGATTTTGGTGAACCTGAAATTTGGATTACTGTTGAAGTGTAGTATTGGGGTACGTAGGAAGTTTTGGAGATTCGTACTTATTTGTACTGCATGGTACTAAATTTTGGTTAATTTGGATTTGGGTGAGCTGATAGGGCTTGAAACCAGGAATTTGGAACTGGAATTACTGTGGGAGAGTATGATTGGTGTATATAGGAAACTTTGGAAATTCGTACTTATGTGGTACTAATTTTGGTACACTTTGAAATTGGGTGAATTGATAGGTCTGGAATTTTGAAATCGGGAAATTAGTTTTCTGTTGGATTGTATGATCCAGATTATTATTGAAATTATTTACTTATGTGTACTAAATGGTACTAAATTTGGTACAAATTGAAACTGAAGGTAAAATTCGGAATTTGGAAATAAGATTGATATGGAATTTTATGATTGAGATATAGGATGTAGGATTTGCGTATGTAGGAAGGTTTGGAAATTCGTACTTATGTGTACTAAATGGTACTAAATTTGGTACAATTTGGATTTGTGTGCACCGAAAAGTGCTGGAATCCCGAAATTTGATATTAAGGTTACTCTTGGTGTCTTGATGGTTTTGGAAATGCGTACTATAATTGTTCGAAAAGTACTAAGTGGTACTAAATTTGGTATTGGGTGAAGGAATAGAGCTATAATTTCGAAATTTGTTATTGAGGTCTTTGTTATTAGATAAAGGGATTGATCCGAATCTGAATTTTTTTTGCGATTACTGTATCTTATCTATCTAAGCAGTTGGACTAGGTATTAAATAAAGTGGCTGCCGTTCCTTATGACCACAAATCTGCAGTATTAAATTTTGATATTAAAAATATGTGGGATATTAATTTAAGCTGGGTAAAAATATAAGTCCCATTTGCCAAAAAAAAACTTCCCCTTAAACTTACACTCAGCTGCAGTACAGATATTTGCAAATCGGACTCATTGAAACCATAGGAAATATTCCAACCAAGAGGTCCATATTTACGTCGCTCCTGGACGACAGCATGAAAGAAACATATGCCAAACAGTAAACGAGTAAAGGCACGATCCTGTTTCCCCACTCCGGTATAAAATGTTGGATCATTTATCGGTTCCGAGTTATATGAACGCATTATGTTCTCCTTCAGTCCAGTGGGTGGTTCATTTGTCATCTTGACACCGTTTTGGAGCAAGGCCACCGGGAATTGCGGTGTTGGATAGCTGGTAAGCCATAGGCGGAATGAAGCTATGAATGAAAGTAACTGTTATATAAAATCTCCGTAGGTAAGATTTTGCCTTGCTTTACTTACGTGACGTATTAAATGTGTCCATATTCTCCCACAGGTATTCCAATTTGGGCATCCATGAAGCGGCCAAGTGACAATTCTGCAGGCAAACCCAGTGACCCAATTCTTGGGCATTTTTAATCAGATTTTGGGCAATGGGTCCCTGGCCTTGACCCAAGGAGATACTTTGGAAATTTTCATCATGACCCATTTTCTCGGCAAATGAGAGCAAAGAACCCAATGGATCTGCTCCAGGTGAGAGTATGAAAATCAATGGCGTCAGGGCGGTGGATTCTATGTAGGACTTGCTTATGTCAAACTCGGGAGGTGAAACAAATTGCGGACCAATTTCGGCGGCAATAAAATTACGAATGGCCAAAAACACCTTATCTGGTCGTAAGCATTTCAAAACAATGATCTTTTCAAAGCGTGTGGTACGATTCTGCCAACCATCGGGTAGGGGTTGTAGTTCAGGTTCGGCGTGATCATATATCCTTTTCCATGCCGCTGTATTGGATCTAAATGATGCAACTATACCCTTGAGTTCGGGAAACTCTTCCAAGCGCAAAATATTCGACCAAAGATTTTCATTTATCCAGCCAGGATCTGGATTGGGTATTTGACTAACCGTTTCCTTGGCCGAGGTCAGGAGATGTGATAGATGTCGCATTTGTATTTGATTGTTGCCAATAAGGATTCGGGTACACAGGATAAAGGAGAAGAGTAGTTTATCCTTTTCAAATATGGAACGACAGACGGTGTTGTACAGATTTTTACTAACCGCATCCACAAGGAATTTTATGCGCCTTGGGAGATCTTTGGATTTATTTGCCGTCTCAATGGAATAAATATAGAGATTGATGTACCAGCTCAGGGAGAACTGATACATGGGATCTATGTTGGGCAGATCTGTTATGGAATAATAGAGTATCGAGGAGTGTATGGCCACTGGTTTGTAGTTCAAGCGGAAAGCTTCAATTTTGGCTGTGGTCTCTACGGAGGCCTCTTGTTTGGCAGCAATGTCGGTGGAAAGGGTCTGCGATTCGCCCAGAATTTGTATGGCTCCCTCATTTTCCAAGATGTCACCCTCTGAACTCGTTAACGTCTTCAAAATCATGTTCTCGGCATCAATGAGAGCCGATTTGTTTTTGGCCGCCTCAGCCGTCAGAGTCATCCGCAGTTCCTGTAAATCTGGGCGCTCCTTGGCAACCACAATACTCAGCAATTGGTCCTCCAAGGCATTTTGTGTCAGGGCGAAGTTAATGATCGTGACCTTATTAAAGGTTTCCGGTAGAAAGTGGGGATTCCTGAGGTTACAGGTCATATAGAGACGGAAATGGGCATGCAGTGGCACAATATTGTCTCCCAGACTTATGAACTTTTGCCCTCCCTGGATAAATGTCTTCTTGAGCAGAATTGGATCCAGTGGCACCTCCAGCTCTTCCAGCACATTTTCAATTATCACCGGATAACCATATTCCATTGCCTCGGCTATGACCTTCATATAATTTGCCTGATTGAATTTCACACAACTCAGGCGATTTTTCCTTTCCATATTTTTCAGCCAATAGTTCGCCTGACCCTGGGGATCAATGAAAAGGCTATAGCGACTGGAATTTGCTGATATAATGGCATTTTCGGTGGAGAAAATATCATTGGGCAGACCATTGATATTCCAATTTTGTATTTGTATTTCCACACCCAAGGCCTTAAGGATGTTGTAGCCTTCCGAGACGGGAATTTCTTTGTCCACACATTTCTCATACCAATCCTGAACACAGGTGGTTCTAAACTGATAATTCATGGTGGAGAGGTAGGCAATGATGCCACACGACAACAATATGTCACCGGGCAAATGGTCATAGAGTATCTGCAAATCATCGGCAGCCTTGGTCCAGCGTGACTTTTCTCCGCCCAAACCATCAATCAGTGACTTGGCCCTGGTCAGTTTATCCTGACATAGATCCGCCTCATCTTGGGTCCTCTTCATTTCCATATTTGCCTTTTCCAAATCTTCATTTAATTTGGCCACCTTGGCCTCCAGCATGGCTGTCAATTCTCGTTTCTCATTCAAAAAGGTCATGGTATCGGCATACTCCTTTTCGGCAGCAGCCAATTTGGCCTTCTTGGGCGCCACAATTTTCGCCACATGGTCATACAAATCCATGGCAATTATCCATTGACATAGGCCCTTGGCAGCACTGGAGGCCTTGGCCACAATGCTGGGATTGAAATCCTTGTGGGGTATGAAATCCTTGCGTATCTTTTTCATAATATCAGGGTTGATGTTATCCTTGTCGAAATCTTTAAGCGACTGCAGGAAATTCAAATCACCCAGGATACGTTTACTGGGACCCCAGTAGTCATTGACCATTTTGCCGGTGGCTGGATCAGCAATGCGATCCGAGGGTATACCCTTGATGACACAAACTGCTGCCATTACCAGTTTGATGACGGAGGGAGGATTTTTCATGGACTTGACCAGGGTAATGTCGGTGGGTTTCAGGGTATTCAAGGCCTGTAGAGCCTCTTCGAGTACGGGTATGGCCTGGGCCAAATCTTTTTCACATTCATTTTTCAATTCCTGGGCAGCCTCGGCCTGTATGGAGGCCACCACCTCATCCTTTTTCACCTGTTCCGCAGCAGCCTGGGCAGCAATGGTTTCCCTATTGATTTCCAACATCATTTTACGTGAATTCTCTGCCATATCCAAGAGTTTTGGTTGCAAAGCATTCAATTCCTTTTGCATCACCGAAATGGCCTCGGCAGCACTGGCCAAGGTGTCCAAGCCACCAATGTAACGCAGCTTGGAATCCATGACCTCTTTTTGTTTGCGTTCCATAACAGTTTGAAAAGATTGTATCAGCTCCAAAAATGAGGCATTGGTAAGGTAGATATGTCTTCCGGTTAGTTCACAGAAACTCTGGGATACCTTGCCGGCTGTGGTGTGGAAATATTGGCATGTCTCCACAATCGATTGTTTCATATCATCCGTGGGTACTCTGACATTTTCCAGGGAAATTTTAGCAATCATTTGCAAAGCTTCTTCGGGCCAGCTTTGATACCAATCTATGGTACAGCAATTCACCAGGGAGGGATACAGTCGCACTCTGGTCCTCAAACTATCTCCAATGGGGGAGAGGCACAAAACTATGTGTAGCTTTCGTTTACAGCGATTCACAAAAAACGAAAAGACCTGCAGGGGTGAAATATCAATGTTCCTATTTCCTCCCTGGGCCGCCAGACGTACCATTTCCAAGATCTCTTGTTTCTCATCAATGGCATAGATATTCGGCACCTCACCCTGATTCAGCAGGCAATCAATATCCTGCAGAAACAATTCCATTTTTATTTGATTCTCCGTCATCAGAAAAGCGGTATGTTTGTCCATCCCCCCTGCCTCCTTTAGGACACTTTTCAAATCATCATGCCAATCATTGGGACCATAATTCTTGGTGATTTCCGGTTGGAAAAATGAGGTCTGTACCATATTTGTGGCCAATTTGGTGAGCGACTGTCTTCCCGAACCGCCCAAACCAATCAGCAAGGCACTGGCTCCACTTATGGACAATATGCGGCAGATACGATTCAAATGTTGCAAAGCAAATGTAAACAAAGTTATATCCATCTTGGACCTCCTCGTCGAGTTGTAATCCTCCAAACTGCTTAGGGCAAATTTATACAAACTCTCAATATTGGCCACCTCTTCGTAACGTCGCTCATCCGCCACCGAGTCTTCATCGAAATAGACTCCAAAAAATATGCGATTTGCCCCATCCATAGTGAGGATACGATCCCCGGTTTGTAACTCTGTGTGGTACTGCTCCAAGGCCACATCCAATTTCTCCTTGAAATGTACCCGCACACAATCATTCAACTTCTGGAACATCCAACGGCGATCATCATCATCTATCAGCCGGTCATAGAATATCCTCATGGCCTCATGATACCACAGGCGTATAAAAATCTTTTTATCGCTCACCGATTCCTTGCGCAACAGCGAACATCCTGTCACCACTCGGGCTATATCTCGCAAATTAAAAATATAATGGCTCTTTGCCGGTGTGGCCCTCATCTCTGTCTGGACCAATTTATAAATGTGTTGCGTAGCCGAGACTATGGCATTGGCCATGCCAAAGACATCACTACCATGACCCGTCTTCCTCAAACCATTTAGCAGAACATTGACAAAAATCCGATTCATTGTCTCATCACTGAAGGTGTCAATGGAAAAAATATTGAAATGATTCAGAAAACGAGCATAGACATCTTGGCGACTTCCGCCGGGCAAGCCACAGGCACTGACAAAAATCAAATTGTGTATAAACACCTTGGTGCTGTCGCGTAAATCATAAACATGACCATAGTCGAAATATTGCCTTAGCAACTCCAAGGGAGGTTGGGCGCCATATTCCTCTTTCATGGGCATGCTGAGATCGTCGACAAAGAGTACGGTCTGTTTGCCTTTGGGGGCGCCATATATGCCACGTTTCCATTTTTGTAGCTGAAATAGCGAAATAAGAAATATATCGTCAGCCCCACGTTGGACGCCATTTTTTTAATATTCCACTTACCTTGGAAATCAGCAAATCCTGTGTTTGATTTGCCGAAATCATTACCGTAAATGTCATAAATGCCGTCTCATAGGCCTCTCCATCCAATTTGTTCATTAGATAGTTTTGTATGTAAACCGTTTTTCCGGTACCGGTGGGTCCGACCAGCAGAATTTTCTTTTTGTGCTGAAATAAGGGGAATATTTTTTTTATATTTTTATTATGGGGGGTGTATTAAGTTCGTCATTCCGTTAGTAACTCATCGAAATAATAATTTTTGACCCAACGTAAAATTCTAAGACGATTTAGGCCTGTTCGCCCGTCCTTCTGTTGCAATCCCGCTAGAGTCAAAACGAATAAAGATAGGAAGCTAAAATTTTGCACCGATCTGTCTTTTGTCTGCAGGCAGGTCAAGTTTGAAGATGGGCTATATCGGTCCATGATATCGTATAGGCCCCATATAACGGTACCTCCGATATTCGGCATTTTGATGATTTTAGCCACATTTTTCAATTGAATTGTCTGAAAATCCACACAAGGAGTTCTCTCTGAGTACTTAACTCTTTGGAGGAGAATTGCCCATATAGGTCTACGTTTTAGTAAAGCACCCATATAACGCTACCCCTAGATATTCGGTAATTCCAGGATTTTCGCCACATTATTCACCGGAATTGTATCAAATTTCGTATTCGAAGTTCGTAATGGGTACTACAGCCCTGTGACGGAAAATTGTCTATGTACGTCCACGTCTTAGTATAGCCCCCCTACAGGAATACCTCCCTTTATTCGGTATTTTGATTATTCATCGGAATTGTTTCAAATTTCGTATTTGATGTTCGGAATCGTTACTACAGCCTATGACAAAAAATTACTTATTCAGCATCACGTCTTCGTATAGCCCCCATATAAAGGTTTTCATTGGAGCTGTTATTTTTCGACGGATTTTTTTTTTATATTTTCAAATTTCTTCCGAATGGTGGAGGGTTAAAAGTTCGGCTCGGCCGAATTCAGCTGCTTGTTTGTTGTTACTCCTCCCCTCAACTTACCTCAATATGCATTTTAATTAAATGCATATAACGAGCCGTATCTATAGTTGGCACTTGAACCCCCAACGAAGTCTCCTCCACATCCAACCTCTTGGCAATATCATTCCAGGAACGCCAAGATCCTCTTTGTTTGAAAATATACATATAGTCCACCAGCAGTCCCTCCAAGGGCATTGAAATATCCAATTTGCCAATAAGTTCGGGCATTGTTTCCTCATTGGTCCACAGCTGAATTTAAATTAAAAATTAAGTTCAAATGCCTTGAAATGGATAAGTTCCGCACTTACCTCCCTGTAAAACTTGTCAAACTTCTCCCTGGATCGATTATCCAAAATACCAGCAATACCCCAGACAATGCCATAGGTAATGGCTGCCTGAAAATACATGGCTAAATATTTGGGATAATCTTCGGGATTTTCTTCAATGGCCTCGTGCAGGCACATATCAAAGATATCAAAGGTGGTCTGCAGGCGATTAAATTCTCCCGGTTTCAGATACTGGACGCAGTGTTTGCGTACAAATTCCTGGCACTGAAAAAAAAAAAACACAAAATCACTAAAAGATCTTTGGCATCCTAAAACAGATATCCCACCGGTTCCAAGAGCCATGAAAACAAGGCCAAAACATAAGGCGAATTCTCCTCATCGGCCCAGCGTTTGTCGGCACGTTTCAGCCAAGAATTGGCAAAGGCCTGCCAACCCAACGAGGCTGGTTCCATGTAGATCATGCCACAGCGAGATACCGTGGCCGGTGAGGCCTGAGACAAATCCATTACCTCAAATATCATGGACATTTCCTTGGTCATGGTTATGACTTCGCCAGAGGTAAGGCATAGCTTTTTGTTGTCATCCAGAACGGTGTTCATGTTTTCAATCCAAACGGCATCTACGGGACCATCAAAGATGACCTAAGGAGAAATAACATTAAATTAAGGAATTTGTTATTTCCTTGCGATTCCTACCCATTTTCTATCCGGCGTTGGAGTCATGGCAAATTCCCTAAATATCCTGGCCACCAAACCATCGGTCCACTCATACGACACCGGATCAAAGGAGCCATACAACTGATTCATGGTTATCGATTTGGGGTTCATAATACCCATTTGCACCTGCTGATAGTAGGGGCTCTTGTCGGGGGCCTTTAACTTTAAGGCTGAGAGTATCTTTGCCAATATCTCCAGGGTTTTACTCTTGCCCGCCATGGGATCTCCGACCAACATAAAACCATGCCGCACAATTATCATTTCATAGGTCTGTATGACCTTGGTTAGGAAACTCTCCGCCGGTTCCAAATCCATTTCCTTACAAAACCGATAAAACTCCTCTTCAATGAGGCTATAATCTATAGAGGGCAACTCTATGCCTGGGAATATGTCCGAAATAATACCCTCAAAGAGAGGTATGTCAAAGGACATGAATTTCGGCAGATTTACATCGATGAGGGAGCGCAGCAGCAAAATATCCTCCAGCTCGTGAGGAAATTGTTTTCTAATGTTACCACAGGCTGAAAGCACCGTTTTCACCGCTCTCATACCATAGTCGTAGTGATTCTGCATGGACAATTGTTCCGAACACAGGCGATAGGTGGTGACAATTTTAATGGCCAATTTTCGGGCATCCACAAAACCATAGGAATACAAAGAGATTTCACCAATCATGGCATAGTCCGGCACCATCATGGCCACCGAACGGAAAAGAACTTTCAAATTATCCGGCAGCTCGGAGCGACCAGCATAGCCCGGATTCATGGTTATGCAGACATAACAGGCCGGATTTAAAGTCAATTCGGTGTTTTCGAAAACAAATTTAACGGCCTTGGCCCGAACCGCTTGGATGATTAACAAAATCTGTTGGGCCACCACGGACAGTACCTCCAGTTCAATGCGATTAAATTCATCGAAACAGGCCCAGGCACCACACGAAGCCAGGCCCTTGAAAAACTTACCCATGGCCTTGTAGTCGAGGCCATCGGAACAATTGAAAACCTTGCATTGGACAGCCAAAGCCTTGGCCAAATCCTTGGTTGTTTCGGTTTTGCCCGTTCCCGCCGGACCCTCGGGGGCTCCATTCAAGTGCAGCTGATAGGCCCCCACCAAGGTGCGATAACATCTATCCGTCAAGGGGGTGATGACCAAACGATCTGAGTTGCCCAAATACTCATTGGCATAGGGTACCGTGGCATTGATGATCCTCACCCAGCTGTCGTCCTCTTCCCAATAGTAACGCAACTGGGCCAGCCATTGGAAATCGTATTCGCTGTTGATTTTCAGGCGTATCAGTTCCTCCACCACATCCTTGGCATGGACATCAATGACAATCAAGGATTTGATGGTAATGCGATTCAAATTGCTAATCGTCGTGGATCTTACCAGATCCACAATGTGTCTCAAATCCCCATTGAGTTCCTCAAAAAACTTCTGCATGGCCAAGGGATCCGAAGCTGATTTCCTTAGGCTCCCATGGACATTACCGGCCCAGTAGATCTGGGAAACACACAACACCACCATTTGCGGCCAATTCAACACCCATTCATATCTCTCCAAGGTGGGATAATTTTTATAGGACCAGGCCATTTCTTGACGTACCGCCTTCAACATTTCCTCCTCCACACCCAGCAACCATTTCTCCACACTGCCACCAGCCGCCGCTGTAGACACCTCATCCACAAATTTCACCACTTCTTTGTCTGCACTAATCATGGCCAAGACATTTTTCTCTTGATCAAATTCCAGGCTATCAATGCCCTCGAAGCATTTGCTCAAATGCGGCAGGACCCTCAGGGGATCCTTGGTTTCGGAGAGAATTTCCAACATCTCATCGTTGGAGAGAAAGAAAAACCGGGGGAAATACAGACGCTTCTTTTCCAAATAATTATTCACACCATTCGTGATGTCATCGAGTAGTTCCACAGCCTTTATAAGGGATTCCAAAAGGCCCGGAGCCGGTGCAGTCTCCATAACGAGGGGTTGTCGCAAAATCATGGCCATATTCCGGCTAAAGGTTTGCTCCACAATATTAAACAGTCTGCCCTCCTCGGGCATTTGAGCCACAATATCCTTGGATGAGAATATGGGCAGTAGATACAAAAAATTCGCCTGCACCTTACCCCATTGATCCAGTGTCTCATTGACCCGCTTGATTTTCTCATACCAGGCCAGGACCTCCGTTTCGCAGGGTTTCATAAAGGCAGAGCCACGCATAGAAAGTGTTTTCAAAATATGATCATCCAGCAGCGCCTGAATATCATCCAAATTGGAGAGGATTTGCACCCCCGTCTCCTTGTAAGGTCCCGTGGGAAACACCCTTGCATCCCACTCGTGAATCATGGCCTGCAGGCTATTCCACAGCTGTAGTTCCTTATTCGCGCTAATACTGATGATTTCAAATTGATCCAATTTCGAATCCAAGTTGTAATTTAAAATTTTACGCAAAGTGGTTCCGGCATCGGGTGTAATGTCGAATCCTGCAATTTCGGACATTTCCTTCCAATGGCGTTTCCTCAAAGCCGGATTGCACATATTGTTCACAATGAAAACCCCCGTCGTGAAATCCTTAATTGATTGAATCATTTTCGAGCACAGCCGCAGCGGTACGGGATGATTATTTGGATCGGGGTCTTCAGTTTGGCCCTAGGTATTGGGAATAAATCAGAATTAAGGAGAGAAGAGACCAATACTTTGTGAGATTCCTACCTTAAATTTACACACAGGATTATCGATAAGGTCCTGCTTGATTTTCTGTCGATAGTATTTTTGATTTTTTTGAAACTCCTTCAGATAATTGTCGGTGGTGAATTCCACAAATTTCGGCTCCAAATACTCAAAGGGTCCATCCATCCAGACATTGTAGTAACGCAACCAATTGATACATAACCTTAAAAGAAAACCGCAAATATTTTACAGAAACACATTTTCATAGGAGATCTGTAAAGAATAGGAGGTAGAAGAACTGTAGGAGATCTTCTAGCCTTAGAAGAGCTGTGGAAGGTCTTCTAGTCCTAGAAGAGCTGAAGAAAGTCTTTTAGTTCTAGAAGGGCTCCTCTAGTTATAGAAAATCTGAAAAGGCTCTTCTAGCTATAGAAAAGCTAAAGATGCTCCTCTAGTTATGGAAGAGCAGAAGAAGCTCTTCTACCTATAGAAGAGCTAAAGAAGTTCTTCTAGCCATAGAAGAGCTGAAGGAGCTCTCCTATCTATAAAAAAGCTAAAGAAGCTCTTTAAGCAATAGAAGAGCTAAAAAAGCTCTTCTATCTATGGAAGAGCTGTAGAAGCCCTTCTAGTTATAGATGAGCTGCAGAACCTCTTATAGGTATAGAAGAGCTGAAGAACCTCTTCTAGCTACAGAAGAACTGCAGAAGCTCTTCTATCTATAGAAGAGCTACATAAGCTCTTCTAGCTATAGAAGTGCTGCAAAAGCTCTTCTGGCTATAGAAGAGCTGCAGAAGCTCTTCTAGCTATAGAAGTGCTGCAGAAGCTCTTCTAGTTATAGAAAAGATGCAGAACTCTTCCAGCTATACAAGAAATGCAGAAGCTCTTCCAGCTATAGAAGAGATGCAGAAACTCTTCCAACTATAGAGGAGCTACAGAAGCTCTTCTAGCTGTAGAAGTGCTGCAGAAGCTTTTCTAGTCTTAGAAGAGCTGCAGAAGCTCTTCTAGCTGTAGACGAGATGAAGAAGATATGGAAGATCTGAAGAAACTATGGAAGAGCTGAAGAAGCTTTTCTTGCTGCAGGGGAGCTGGAGAAGCTCTTCTGGGTATAGAAGAGTTGCAGAAGTTCTTCTGGGTATAGAAGAGTTGCAGAAGCTCTTCTGGGTATAGAAGGCTGCAGAAGCTCTTCTGGGTATAGAAGGCTGCAGAAGCTCTTCTAGCTATAGAAAAGAGGCTGAAGCTCTTCTAGCCCCAGAAGAGCGGCAGAAGCTCTTCTAGCTATAGAAGAGCTGCAGAAGCTCTTCTAGCTATAGAAGAGTTGCAGAAGCTCTTCTAGCTATAGAAGAGCTGCAGAAGCTCTTCTAGCTATAGAAGGGCTGCAGAAGCTCTTTTAGCTATGAAAGACTGTAGAAGGTCTTTTGGCTCCAGAAGAGCTGTAGAAAGGCTCGAAAAGAGCTGAAGAAGGTCTTCTAGATGATCTGAGGAAGTTCTTTCAAAGAAGACCTTTAAGATGCTTTCCATATCCCCATATCCATGGAAACCGGACATGAGAGATGTCATTCATCTAAAGAAGACATGTAAATAGAAGTCATGTATCTATAGAAGACCTGTAACAAGTCTTCCATCTAAAGAAGACCTATGAAAGGTCTATTCACAAAAATCAGAACAACCCTACAGAGGCTTCCATCCATAGAAGTCTTTTAGAAAGTCTTTTAATCATAGAACCCTTGTGGAAGGTCTTCCATCCACAGATTAGCAGATCTTCTTGTGATAGAAGAGCTTCATGTAAACATGGAAAACCTTCTATGGAAAAATAACCCGATCTATTAAATTTCTCTTCCAAATCTACTTACTTCATCAGCGTCGCAAATGGATACACGAACGTCTTCAGTACATCCATGGTTGGATACTGAGTTTGGGGTATCTTAAACAACTTCTCCTCCTTGTTGATCCACGCCACATAATCATCAAAGGTCTTCAGCTGATCTATGAAATTCTGCAACATTATGTAGTAGGATTTGAATTTCTGCGGATCACTCATGTCATTAATGATGGTCATTTTGGGAATCATTTCCTCAATGTCCTCGTTGAGTTTTTTCACCACCTCCTGGAGATGTTCCTCGAACAGGGACTTGTAGTTTTCCTGCTGTGAGGCATTATAGTCGCAGATCTCATTGATGTCATTCAACCAATTAATGGTCTTGATTGTCAGATCGAAGTGGTAATGGGACATTTCACAAAGTTCCACCAGATTGGTGCCCACCTGCAGGGTATATTGTATGCGATCGCGTAGCTCGAAGAGTTTCTCTTTTTTCACATAGATCATGTACTCCGAACTGGCCAAGAGTTCTTCGGTGGTTTTGGGTATTTCCAAGGCCCTCTCCTTGATCTGCTCAAACTCGGCACAAATGGCCAATTCGGTTTTTATGTGTTCTTTGGTAATTTCCGAAGTTATCCGAGCAATCAGTCCATCGGCAACTTGGCGCAAACGCTTAATGCATTGTTCGTTGTTAATTATGGCCAGCAGGAAATAGTCCTGTTTCGGTTCGCTACGCAACATATTGATGTACTCAAAATAGGAATCAATTTTCCGAAAATATTCTTCAAATTTCTTCGGTTCGCCCAGGAAACGATCCAGGTCCTCACGCACCGCCTGGCTATAGAGACCATAGTATTTACGTTGATATTTTTTCAAATACTGTTGTATGGGTTGATAGGTGCGACTGATCGCCTGCTTCAGACGTTCCACAAATTCCCCCAGATAATTTTCGTTGAGATTTATTCTCAAATATTCGGCAGCCTGATTGACAGTGGTCGGATCAATTTGTGGCTGTATGGGTTCCATGCGATTACCCACCTCGGCAATTTCCCGAACTATCGTAACATAGGTATCTTGAATCTCTTCCAAACTGGGACTGATATCTATGCCATCACCTTCGTCGTAGCAGATTAAATTGAGTCGTAACATGGGTATCGTTTGACCCTCCGAACATATCCTCAGCAATTCGTTGAGCGTTCGTTGCTTGAGATTATTCATTTGCCGGTTGATGAGACCCTCAATGCAGAGGAATATGCTGGGCCACATTTTGGGTGTGGCCACACGTTTCCGGTGCATTCGGCGCAGGGTATTGATCACCTTGGGATACCAGGTCCAACGCAGAAATGTGTTGTAATTATCCAGCGATGTACGGCAATATTTCAGCAAAGCCTTGTGGGAAATACATTCCCTTTGGCCCAGGCCCATTTGAACTGCAGCTGCCTGGCCCACGGTAATTTGCAGCGGCTCGAAAACCACCAAATATTCCGGAAATTCCATTTCCGTGGAATTCAAAACAAATCTCACCGGTAATTTCAAAATCAACAATCTCTGCCCAATCCTCTTACGATTCAGCACATATTTTTGATAATTTTCCGTTTTCCCTGGCAACGTAAAACGAAAATCCGCTTTGGGTAATTCAAAATCTGCCGGATCTTCGTGAGGCAATTCCGGCTTCACCAAAATCTTTTTCATACTATATATTTTCATCAGCCGATCGAACTCATCATGGACATCTTTCATGTACAACTTCACCAGATTTGGTAGTTTCTGCTTCAGCCGCAATGGGGCATAGCTTAGGATTTTTCGCTCTGTTCGTGTCAACATTTTTGGAACCTCAATTTGTCGTACAGATCTTCGTAAATTATTGACATAATGAGATTCGGGTAGATAGCGTATATCTCGCTCGGGAGGCAAGCGTTGACGGGCCAATTTCATTTTCACCTCTGCCGCCCGGTACTTCAGGAAGGTGTGATGCCGTCTCTCATAGACTTTTGAGAGATGAAACTTAAGCAAGGGATTTTTCATATATTCCTCATTGTCGTAGCGATCCAAATTCGCCGGCGGGTGATACATGCGTTCTAGCTTGCGTGTGAACATGGCTGGAACTTTTTCTTTTCGATTTTTTTTATTTCTTTGTGAAGAGGTTTCTTTTTTAAAAATTGAAAATTTTATATTTTATTCTTTGACATTTTCTTTGTTTCAAAATTATTTTCTACTCTTCACTCTCCCACTTTGAAATTAAAATTCTCTGCCGGTGTTTATTTTGAATAACGAAATTTGCTTGGCAATGTCGGTTGCCAAGTAACAGTTAATTCCGGACGAGTTGTATTTTCTTCCTTGGGATTAAAGGGTGTGTTTCATTTACCAACTGAAGGGATCGCATTGTCACGTTTATATTAATCATAAAATAAATTATACCATTTTAGTTTTTAAAAGTTTTTTTTAGGATTTGCAAAATAAACGTAGTACAATGGTTCAGAACTCGTTTTCCTTAGCCAAAATCCGATTTTTGTTGTTACCGGTATTATAATCGGAATCGATAAAAAATATATAAAAATCATGACAAAAAAATATTCCAAAATATTTTAATTGATTATTTATTAATTGTTAATTTGAAAAAAAATATTATTTTGGAAAAGATTATTCTAGGTTTATAGTTTGCTGGATTTAGTAAACCAAGGGGATTTAAATTGACAATTCTACTGCATATGCGTCATATAAACCCTTATGATGGAGGTTAACCCTACCAAAAGATCTAATGTAAACAACTGTCATTTCTAGAAAACTTTTACAGGATTATTTTTTGATAGATTTTTAAGATAGATCGGATTTTTTGAGACTAGTAAGTGGCAGCTACTTCGTTAGCGAAAAGTCCACCTTAAAAAAATTTTAGAATCATTCCAAAAGTTTATTTTAGGCCTTTTTTACCCTCAGCCATATGGCTAGAGAGGCTATGCATCATTTGATACGGCCAAAACGTGTCTTATCGAAATAACGGTCTCCTAGGTCTCTTTAGACCAAATCCGTTTCAGGACATTTGGAGTCGATCTGGCGATGTCCGTCCGTCTGTCTGGCTGTTTAGTGCGCATGATAACTCTCGAAGGAATTATCCGATTTGATCCAAACTTGGAATATCGTATTATTATTAACAAGTTTAGACCGAATTCGGATATGGACAATATCAATCCACTCCTTCTGGTACCTCCACCAAAAAAATTCGAAATTTTCCAAAAAAAAAAAATACTGCACAGAAAGGAAAAGGATAATCCGATTTTGCTCCAACTTTGCAAATACTAATATTTCCATAAGTGCTACAGCTGGTGCGAAAATGGACACTCCATCAAGTACCTCTCACACAAAGGGTCGCAATCTTGAATAATAATAACTCTTTTAAAATGTGATGTAAAATTCGGATTGTCTTCAAATTACACACATCACAATATTTCTATTAATCCAAGGTCTAGTGTGAAGATGGAATATATTGGTCCACTCCTTCTGGTACCTCCCCCACAAAGGGTAAACATTTTGAATATTCATGAAGCTCATAAAACACGAAATAAACATCCGATTCCATTCTGACTTGGTACATCTCAATATTTCCATCAAGACAAGATCTTTTAAAAATATGGTAGAGATGGGACCATTCCTTCTGGTAAATCCCCCACAAAGGGCCAACGTTTTGAATAACAAAAACGATCATAAAATCCGAAGTAAACATCCTGCTCTCTTAAAATTTCACACATCATAATATTTTTATTAACCCAAGGTCTGGTGCGAAAATATATCGGTCCACTACTTCTAGTACCTCCCCCACAAAGTGTCAAAATTTTGAGTATCTATGAAGCTCGTAAAACACGAAATTAACATCCGATTTAAATCAGACATGGCACATCAGAATATTTCCATCAATATAAGATCTGACATAAAGATGGCAGAGATCGGACCATTTCTTCTGGTATCTCCCTCACATAGGGTTCAAGATTTTGATAAACAAAACGCTCAAAAAAAGCGAAATAAGCATCCAACTCTCTTTCACACATACACATTTTTTGGCTTACACAAGATCTGTTATGAAGATGATATATGTGCGAAACCCTTCTGGTACCTCACCCACAAAGGGTCACAATGATCAGTCCTTTTATCACTCATAACTTGCGAAACAAGTCAGCTATTCTTTACAACTTGCTATATCTAAATATTTCTTTTAACCACAATGAAAATTGTCTATGCTGGCCCAGGTCTTCGCTCCGATATAACGGTACCTCCCTATATACGATATTTGGATGATTTTAGCTACATAATTCACCGTTTATTTCAAGTTTCGAATTTGAATTTGGTAATGACGTATAGACACCAATATAACGGCTATATTCGGTATTTTTAAAATTTTAACAGAAGTTTTTAAGGATTTTATTTTCAAATTCGTTCCAAATGGTGGAGGGTATTCAAAGTTCGGCCCGGCCGAACTTATTGCTTTTTAACTTGTTCAGCTCTACATTCAAAGTCTGCTGGGTTTTTCCCGTAATTATTGAAAAAAATTGAATTTTGTTGTGTTATTTCAAAGGCATTTTTTCAAAGGAATTCTTGAAATTTTGCAATTTCCTTCCAAATGGTGAAAGGTATTACTAGATCGACCCGGCTGAACATAGCTGTCCATTTTACTTATTAACTTTATATATATGTAATTTTTAACTTTTGAACTTTACAATTGTCTATCCAAAAACGTCCAGACTAGTCATGGTAAAAATGCTAATTCTGCTTTCTACAGTCTACCTTTCCGAGAAATACATTAATTACTTCCTTGGTTATTTCATATTTTTTAATTTCCATTTTAATATTCAAGAATAGTATTATACAGGCAAACATTACGATTCTAACAAAAATTAAATTTCCATTAATGCAATATCAATCAACATTGATTGCTCAAAACAAACGCTACTCAAGATAAATGGTTTTCTTTTTTATTTTTTCTTTTTTTGTTATAAACAAGTTTTCATTTTTTGTATCTGTTCTAAAGATAGATTTTTACTACAGCATTTACTATTCGAAGCATATTCTATATTTAGCCTACAATAATTTTGAAATATGCGTGTTTTTTGTTCGTGTTAAGTAAATTATTATTAAAGGACTTTAGCCGACCAGCACGACCTTGACTTCATTAATCGATTTGTGGTGTCATTTTCAAGAAAATTTTCTTCAGTGGTTCGATTACTTAAAACACAGACACGAGTGACACATTTGTGACAGACCAAAATCAAAGCACGCACAGTAAAATGTCAAAAGTGACGGCCGGAGGAGACATCATTAGTAACAGATGTTTAACGGAAATTATCATTAGCTATGGCGTGCTAACCAACTCTCCCATGCACGCAGAGCGGCAAATGTCATATTCAGGGGAAAAAATAATTAAATAAAAAAATAAAACAAACAAACGAAGTTGTAAGAACAAACATAATAGGTAAACAATTTGCATTTGACGAGGAAATTAGGATAAAACTAATATCGAAGATCAAATGATAGCAAGAAAATGCAAAGCAGGAAATTTATCATCATAATTTGCTTCATTTGGGATTTTACAGAAAAGAGTATTTTGGCGAAGTAAATAACACTTTGCACCACAACAAATAATTACAGGGGAATCCAGCAGATTGTGATAGTGGAGCTAAAAAAAAGACAAGTACATCGTGTTTTGAAAGTTTACAGGGAAAAGTATGCACAATAGAGAGCCACAGTTTTCGAAGATTTCGGATTAAGTTTCCTCGGAATCCATGGATTTTAGGTATATAGTGTCTTATGTGATATTACAGATTAAATTACGAGGAATATGTTGGTAAATTTTAACCCTCAAGCCAGTCAACAAAGGGTCTTTTTGGTCCTTGTTTTTAAAAAATGGTTAAAAACTGCATTTTAAGTCCAAATGTTCTACAAAATTATTTGTTTTTATTTTTTTTAAACAATTTTTCCTTGGACTTTTTACGACTTGACGCATGAAAGGAACATAAAATTACGTTTTAGGCGGAAGTTGTCAATAGAAGAAATATTCTACACAAAATTTCACTACAAATCTCAGAACTAACTATATATCAAGGTGCAATTGTTTTTGTTTGTTTTATGTGTCGTTTTTACTGTGTCCAGTCCTGTCCAAAAGGAAGATTTTGACCTTCCTTTATACTTCATAGTTTGCGGAAAATGTCAAAGTATGAATTATTCTAGATCAAATTTCATTGTGAGTCTCTGAACAAGAGAATTTTGTATACTTTATATGTACCATAGAAAAATTGCTTCAATAATAAAACACTTTTTCAATTTTTTTCAAAAAAACAAATTTGCTGTATTTTTTTAATTTCAATTACAATAGCCAGTCTGGGTTATGGAAATTGTCATGTGGGTACGATAGTACTCGTTTTTAGATCAAAACCCCAAAAGAGTTTTGGGTTCTTGGACCAAATATTTTTGCGGTCCATTGACCATATGCAAAGTTCCCCTATAGTTTGCTTTGAAATTTGACAGAGATCTTCGGATTACATTCAGAATCATCCTTCAAGCTTTTTTAATAGTTCTCTAGTGAAGATAACTCCAATTTCAAGTACTTTTAACGTTTTGCCCATGTTTTTCCTTTAATTCTGGCATTTAGGTTCTGGCACATAGGTTCACTATTTGATACAGCAGGTGTGTACTGGTCCCCCTGATTTTAGTTATTGCAAAGGTCTTGATCATATTTTCCCACTAATAAAATCAGAAAACGGAGGAAGTGGATACTGATTACATTTTTAGAGAAAGTTTGTGGCCGCTTTGGACCTGAAGGACTAAATCCAATATAAATCCTCTCATATATCTAAAAAATCAAGTAGTACAGGGTGAGATAAAAAATTACAACCAAATTCAGACTGCTGTCATTTCTAAGCCACTCGTCCGACAGCTCTTAAAATTATTCCAGTGACAACTCCTTATATTGTTTACAAGCGTATAAAACCATTTTGGTGAGAATTTTCCAGAAAAAAAGTTGTTCGTGATGGAATTCAAGCGTGATAGTGTGATTTCTTTATATTTGGCTGGAAAACCACAAGTGGCTATCGTCAGAGCACTCCAGCATTTAAATGTGAATAAATCTTCTGTGTCTCGTATCATCGCTCGTTAACGTGATACTGGTATTGTAGCCCAACGTCAAGGAAGTGGACGGAAGAAAACAGCAACATCAGCAGAAATGGTACCAAAAGTAAAGAAGCGACTTGATCGAAACCTGCGTCGCAGTGGCCGAAAAATGGCTCGTGAGCTGAACATATCGCTATATTCCGCAAACATACGGCAAATATTGAAAAATGAGCTCGGGCTAAAGCCATTGAAATTCCAAAAAGTACAAGAACTTACACCGCGACAGGAAGAAAATAGACTCAAATGAGCTAAAGAGTTGCTTCGCTTGGCCGAAAATGGTGAACTGCCGAATTTGGTTTTCTACGATGAGAAAACATTCGTTGTCCAGCCGTTTGTAAACAAACAAAATGATCGTGTTTACTTGCCAAAGAGTTCAGCTTAAAATGTGCACCTTCAGTTGGCCACCATAAGTCAAGCGACGGCCATGGTCGCTCTCCGCACGTATTAATCGACCGTGGCATCAGAATAAATGCCGAATATTATCGCAAAAATATTTTGGGCATGCAAACATTTTGGCCGCAGACCTTGGACATTCCAACAGGACTCAGCCCCATCGCACTCAGCACGCGCCACCCAAGAATGGTTACAAAATAAGGTTGCTCGCTTTATTTCCAGCGCACAATGGCAACCAAAATCTCCGGATATCAATCTATTGGACTATTGGGTCTGGAGTATTTTGGAAAGCAAGCTTGGCTCTAAAAAAATATCAAAGTGTCGATCACCTCATGCAAGCGCTTCGCCGGGAATGGGCCAAAATACCGCAGAGCAACATTCGGGCAGCGTGTGACGGTTTCATTGGCCGTTTCAAGGCCATAATTCATGCCAAAGGTGACTAATTCGAACAAATCTAAACTTATTCTAAAATTTGATGCTATGTCCGACATTTCTTGCTTTCATTCAATAAAAATTTGAAAAAAAAAAATGTAAAAATCATGGCGTTTGACTTTGTTGCAGTTTTTTTTATCCCACCCTGTATATACTTTATTGGGTCTAAAATTATTATTTCGTAGAGTTACAATCGGAATGACGAACCTAATATGACCTCTATGTTATGTAGGGTGGAGGGTATAAAAATCCTAATTCCAAGTATTTAGAGGTATAAGCTATCTTTGAAAACCGGCAGTGATTTCGAATTTTCTCAGATTGAAGAATTTTTACTCTGCGAAATAAAAGAGCCACTGAAATCCTAATTTCAAAAAATTGGTAATAAAACGAATATTTTTTTTTAGTTAAAAATTAAAAAATATTATTTACAAGTTTATTAATAAAAAAATAAAAATAGGAAAATATTTATTTTAAAATAATTAAAAATTGACTAAATGAGAGAGCTTGTTTGTTTGGTGTAGTTGTTGTTGTTGTTGTTTGGTTTTGTTTCTTTGGTTTAGAGATAAAAATGTAAGGTTATGTAAACGTAGTGTTTGATATGTTTTAATACTTTTTTTTCTTCTTTGGTATTCTTTGGTGGTCGCTGTTTCCGTTCTTCATCCTCCTCATGGTTCTTCCTTTAATACTATATAATCTGAATTTTTTCTTCACTCTTCCCTCCTTATCTTGGCACCAAATCAATGTAACCCCCAGGTCGCATCATTTGATGTGCTGCCGCCGAACCATAAAAACTCTGATAACTACTCATGCCATAGGAATTGCCGGAGGGCGAGACACTGTTGCCCGTACCCAAGCCGGTGGGAGAGTTACTGTTCGCCCCAGCATGACCATGAGCCTGGCGCATGTGGCCTGTGACCTTGATTTTCTCATAGGGGTTGCCATAACTGTGACCATGATAGTGGGGATTGTGATAGATGGGCCCATAGTTGGAGTTGTCCGAGCCATAGGGTTGACTCAGGGTGGAGTAGATGTTCGCCGTTCCCATGTGATGCTGTTGATGATGCTGTGGCGAAGTGGTATGTGGTATAACCTGAGAATTAAGATTCAAATTGAGATGGGTATGACCGGGATGATGATGGGCATGATGTGGCGATGACGACATTAGGCCCGTGGAGGAATTGGACAATGATGACGTAAGTCCCGCTGTTGCTGCGCTGGCGACATTCTGGCTAAGGGCGCTGTGACCATATGGAGAACCACCACTACTGTGATGCGAATGATCGGTTTTGGGCGAAATGCAATTCGTGTTGAGAAGGCCACTGTGACCATTTGTCTGATAGTTGATGAGATCAGGCGAAGTGCCAGTTGTGGAGGGGGTAGAGGGTGCCGTGTTCATGGTGGCCTGATGGTGGTGATGATGATGATGACTGGCGGTTGGGGTTGTAATCATGCCGCTGTGATTTGGATTGTCTAGATCGGCTGCAGTGGTTGTGTTGTTGTTGTTGGCGGCTAATTCTTTTGAGTGACCCTTTAGTGCTTGTTGTTGTTGGTGGTGGTGATGCTGCTGCTGATGTTGTTGCTGCTGTTGGGCATGATGCTGCTTCATTCTGGCATGACTTTCATGGCTCATTTGATTCATTGCCATGCCTCCTCCGTTTGGTGGTCTGCAAAGGAGAAAAAAAAAACAGAAAAAAGAATTAACATCAGTTTGGTAATTTATATCACTTTTGCATATTGCTGTTGTTTTTTTATTGTTGTTGTTTTAACAAAGAACATTTCATAAACAATAACAATCGCTGCTACAAAACACAGATCCACAAACATCCACACACATACATCGCTATTTCCCCAAAAAATATTGTATATTTCTTCATTATTATTATTTTTTTTGCTTTCGATTTCTTTTTTTGCTGGCTGTTGTAGCTTCCCAAGAAGTCAAATCCGCCACATCTTGGAAAAAAATATTAAAATTTTAATAATATCTATTGTTGTAATTGGGCGAATGGCTACTTCGAAAAGCCCTTTCGTGTATTTTTAATTGAATATTGTTTATAACATCGTCTGAAATCGATTTCTGGTGTTGAATGCCTCACATATACAAACGTGTTGTACACTGAGGCCTTGATTTCCCGAGTCAGTGGACTTGGGTGAAAGAAAATAATTTTTGGAAGTATTTTCCATAAATGGAAAATATTCCACCAACCCAGAAAAAAATGTAGGAGCTGTAAAAGCCAAATGGCATATTAAAAAGTAAACAAACTACCTTTGCATTACCAAAGGATTTAAAATAATCGGCAAAACTTCAAAAATACAAGTAAAAAATGTTCGGCCGGACCGAACTTTGAATATCCTCCACCATTTGGGACGAATTTGGCAATTTTCAAAAAAATAAAATCCGTTAAAAATTCTGTTAAACTCTTAAAAATACCGAATGTAGCCGTAATATTAGGGTCTATACGACGACGTGGACCTGCATAGGAAACTTGTGTCATAAGCCATTACTACATTCAAATGCGAAACTTGAAAAATGTAATGGAGATGACCCATTTTCAATACCAAAAATCTTGCAGACATAATATACATTTGAGTAAAATTTCGAGGTTTTACAAACGGAATGACAAACTTAATATACCCTCCATACTATGGTGGAGGGTAGAAAAACATTCAAAGAAAATTAATTACTTTCTCATTACCAAGTAATGAGTGTTAATTTGAGACCCATCGTCGAAAAACGAAGATATCTATACATATAAAAGAGTAGTGAAATAACTGACTGACTGAACTAGAATAAACACCCAAACAAAATGGCTAAAGCTACAATTATAAAATTTTGGACGAGGGTCAGTCTTGGTGCGTAGGTGTGTGATAAGGCTCGGTTTTTGGAAACCCGTACTAAAAGGATACGAAAAGTATTAAATTCTATTAAAAATTGAATAGTTTATATTGGAACGAGGGTCATCAGTGTACCAGTACCAGAGGGTTTTTTTTTGGAAATTTCAACTTTAAGGTTACGAAAATTTCTAAAATGGTTCTAAACTTCCAAAATGGTACCATTTGGTATTATGCGAAGCGATAGAGCTAAAACATGAAATTTGGTATGAGAATCAAGGTTGGAAAGCAGGTTTGATATATGAAAGTGGTTTTGGAAATGTGTACTAAGCGTGCGAACTGTACAAAACGGTACTAAATTTGGAACACTTTGGTTTAGGGTGAACGGATGGAGCTGGAATTTTTGAATTTTGGTGGTTTTGGAAATATGTACTGCAAGTGCATGAAAAGTACTAAATAGTGCTATATTTGGTACCATTTGGTATTGGGTGCACATATAGGCCTTGAAATCTGAAATTTGTTATTAGGATTGCTGTCGTCTGTGGATATATGGAGAGTGTTTTCGGAAATATGTACTATAATTGTACGAAAAGTACTGAATGGTACTATATTTGGTATTGGGTGAAGGGATATAAATAAAATTCTGAAATTTGATATAAAGATAACATCTGATATCTGTGTTTGAAATTTGGCGGTGGTTTGGAAATACGTCCAATATTTGTACGAAAAGTACAAAATGGTACTAAATTTTGTTATTGAGTAAACGAATAGGGCTTGAATCCTCAAATTTAACATTGCGGTCTCTTTTGGCATCATGAATTGAGAGGTGGTTGTGGCTTTGAAAATGCGTACTATAATGGTACTAAAAGTACAAAATGGTACATGATTTGGTTTAGGGAGAAATCCTCAAATTTGATATAGATGTCACTGTTGGTGTCTAGAATTGAGATATGGAGTTGGTTTTGAAAATGTGTTCTACAATTGTTTAAAATGTACTAAAAAGTATTAAATTTGGTATTGGGTGAAGGAATCGACCCAAAATCGAGAAAAAATATGTGGATGTCACTCTTGGTGTCTGTGGTTGAGGGATGGATCTGGGTTTGGATATCCGTACTATAAATGTAGAAAATGGTACTAAATTTGGTAATAGCAGAAATGACAGAGCTGAAATCCCGAAATTGGTGTTGGGATATAGATGCAAATCTGAAATTTTAGTATCGAGGTCACTATTAGTGTCTAGGGTGGAGAGAAGGAGGTAGTTTTGGATATGCATGGTATAATTGTAAATTTGGGATTGGGTCTTAGATGGAGCTGGAATTCTGAAATGGTGACCACTGTTGGTATATAGTTTTGAGAGGAGGAGGAGGTGGATTTGGGAATGCGTACCATGATTGTTCGAAAGGTACAAAATTGTACTAAATTTGCCGTTGATGGTCACAGTTGGTTTCTAAGGTCCATTGTGCAATGGTTTTACTAATATCCTCCTCGGTAAAGATTTTTTGGTGTAGAAGGTAAGTAGAAGGGACTTTTTGGTGTAGAAGGTACACATTTTCCCATTCTTTTTTTCCAAAAAGAAAAAACTTGAATAATATATGAAACCTTGAAAGTCTGAAGATTTAGTACGATATATGTGCGTTGAGTAAAAAATGTTATAAAACTGAACAAATTTGAGAATTTTGAATACTTAAAATATCTAAAAAACATATGAAATCAGGGTTCGCCATTCATATATACCTAAAAATGGATGGATTGCAATTATGGTCATTCGTTTTTTCGATCTTGTAGTTCCGAAGATATTTTAAGTCGAAGACCAGCTACTTACAAAGGTTATAAAGTTGAGAAAAACTATGGATCGCGTAGCCGGTATTGGCCTGAAGGCGGCTTCTTAAAAAATCTATAACGGTTAGATATATATTAGTGAATCAGATTAAAAATACATACTCCATAGCCCGCAGACGTTTTGGACATAATCCCCATTATTACAGGGTTTATGTCCGCTACTTTCTGGGGATTTTTGACCGATTTTTTGGACAAAAAATTAAATGTCATAATCCCTATTATGTCAGTGAAAATTATGGCACGGCACCTTCAGGAAACTCTGAAGACGTTGTTTAGCCTTAAAAATTCTGTGAAAAGCGTAGAAGACTTAGAAAGCCTGCTATTCACAAAAGATTTCCCTTTCCTTGGAATATTACTTTTTATAAAAAAGGTCTGGACCTATAGAAGACTGATGATAAAGGGCTAAGGATATGATACCAAATACTGTCCTTCTATAAACGGTCATTGATCCATAGACCTCTTCGGAAAATAAGTATTTTTCTGTCTCCAACAAAGGCCTCACTGTATTCCACACCAAATTTGAATTATGGCCTCTTTGACTTGACGAGGCAAAACAAGAGCAACAACAACAACAAAAAAGTGGGCGCATATCGTTAACACGCTGCCATAATTCATAAGAATTCTTTTATTCTTCGTATTTTTTCATACGTTCCTTTTTTCGACAATTTATTCACATGTTCACATCTGAGGGAATTTCATGATTTTCATTCCTCTTCTTTTTTTTATTATTTTTGTTTAGTTAATGATTTGTTTGGTTTCATTTCAAATTTGATCATATTTTTGTGGCCTGATAGATATAGGAGCAGTGGAAGGGAGAGGGTAGGTCCTATTTTTTTTTGGGAATTTCTAATGAATTTCAATTCGATCTAAATAAATAATATATATGTGTGTGTTTGTGTGCCGTAGTTCGTTATTTGTTTTGAAATTTTATAAAAAAAAAAAAAAAAATTTTGAAATTCAATTAAAAAAATACTTACGCGTCACTTGTGCCATCATCTCTGAAGCCCTTGGCAAATGGATTGCTGACAATTTTCAATTGCGTTACCTGGAAAAAGATGATAGAAAATTAATTATAAAAAACAAAATAAGGAAGCTTAGCAAAGAAAAACTACAAAAAAAAAGCAAAAATAGAAATCTTAAATGCAGGTAATTGGTTCTGTACATCCTTTTTATACCCTCCACGATACATAGTATGGAGTGTATATTAAGCTCGTCATTCCATTTGTAACTCATCGAAATAATAATTTTAGACCCAAAGACAAAGTAAATATATTTTTAATCAGTGTAAAATTCTAAGACGATTTAGCCCTGTTGGTCCGTCCATCTGTCCGTCTGTTGTAATCACACAAGAATCAAAACTAATAAAGATAGGAAGCTAAAATTTTACACCGACCTGTCTTTTGTCTGCAGGCAGGTCAAGTTCGAAGATGGGCTATATCGGTCCATGATATCGTACAGCCCCCATATAACGGTATAACGGTACCCCCTATATTTTAACCATATTTTTCAATGGAATCGTCTGAAATTCTACACAAGGAGTTCTTTGTAAGTATTTTTCCCCCTTGAAAAAGAATTATCTTTATAGGTCCACGATATCGCATATCTCCCATATAGCTGTACCTCCCCGTATTCGGTATCTTGATCATTTTAGACACATTTTTTTAATGGAATTGCTTGACATGCTACACAAGGATTTCTCTGTGAGTACTTTATCCTCTGAAAGAGAATTGTCTATATAGGCCCTCGATATCGTACAACCTCCATACAATGGAGCCCCCAAATATTGGTTATTTTGATTATTTTAGCCATATTTTTCTATGGATTAACTTAAAATCCACACAAGGACTTCCCTCTGAGTACTTTACCCCCTGGAATAGAATTATCTATATTGGTCTACGTTTTAGTATAGCACCCATACAACGCTACACCGAGATATTCGTTTTTTCCATTATTCACCGGAATTGCGTAAAATTTCGTATTTGAAATTCATAATGGGTACTACAGCCTATGACGGAAAATTGTCTATTCAGGTCCACGTCTTAGAATAGCCCCCATATAATGGTAGCTCCCTTTATTTGGTATTTTGAAGAAATTACCGACATTATTCACCGGAATTGCGGTACCTTCAAATTTCGTATTTGTAGTTCGGAATCGTTACTACTGCCTATGACAAAAAAGTACTTCTCCAGCACCACGTGTTCGTGTAGCCCCCATATAAAGGTTTTCATTTGAGCGGTACTTTTCGTACTTTTTTTTTTTGAAAATTTTCATGTTCCTTCCGAATGGTGGAGGGTATAAAAAGTTCAGCCAGGCCGAACTTAGCTGTTTTTTTACTTGTTAATTATAACCTCAGCCATATGGCTGCAGAGAGTATATATTATACGGCCAAAACGTGCCTGATCGAAATAATGGTTTAAAATACTAAATCCATTTCAGGACATTTGAAGTCGATATTTGGATCAGTGCTAGGTCAGGTGTGAAAATGGACAATATCGGTCCACTCCATCAAGTACCTCCCCCATAAATGGTCAATTTTCAATTTTGAATAATTACAACTCTCATAAAATGTGGTGCAAGAGTCCGATTGTCTACAAATTTTACACGTCCAAATATCACACGTCCCAATCTGTTGTTAAGATGGGCAATATCGGTCCACTCCTTCTGGTACCTCCCCACAAAACGTCGAAATTTGCAAAAAATATATTTTTTTTTGCACAGAAAGAGAAATTATACTCCGATTTTGTTCCAACTTCGCGAATCCTAATATTTTCATCAGTGCTAGGTCAGGTGCGAAAATGTACAATATCGGTCCACTCCTTCAAGTAACTCCCTCACAAAGGGTCAAAATATTGAATAATTATAACTCTTATAAAATGTGATGTAAGAGTCCGATTGTCTTCAAATTACGTACAAGACAATATTTTTTATTAACCCAGGGTCTGGTGCGAATATGGAATATATAGTACCTTCCCCACAAGCTCATGAATATCCAAGAAGCTCATAAAACGCGAAATTAACATCCGATTCCATTCAGACTTGGTACATCTCAAAATTTCCATAAACACACAAGATCTGTAATATAGATGGTAGAGATCGGACCATTATTTCTGGTACCTCCCCCACAAAGCGTCAAAGTTTTCAATAACCAAAACGATAATAAAATTCGAAATAAGCATCCAGTTCTCTTCATATTTCACACATCCTATTATTTCTACTAACACAAGATCTGCTGTGAAGGCGGGATATATCGGTCCACTCCTTGTGATGCCTCTCCCACAAAGGGTCAACGTTTTGAATAACCAAAACGATTATAAAATCCCAAAATGTCATTCGCTTCTCTTCATATTTCACACATAGCATTATTTCTACTAACACAAGATCTGCTGTGATGATAGAATATATCGGTACACTCCTTCTGGTACTTCCCGCACAAAGGACCAAAATTTTGAATATTCATGAAGCTCATGAAACGGGAAATTAACATCCGATTCCATTCAGACCTCGCACATCTCAATATTATCTTGCGTTGATAAGATCTGTTATAAAGATGGTAGATATCTGCCAGCCCCTTCTGGTACTTCACCAACAAAGGGTCACTATTTTCAATACTTTATTTGTCATAACTTGCCTCTCAGCCAAAAACCTGATATGAATATGGAGTTAATCGGAATTTATGATTTCGCATAAAATTGGATATAAATATTCGATTTTTTTGTAACCATATTTTATCTGTATTAGATGAGGTATGAAAATGGAATACTTCGGTCGACCATATCTGGTACCTCACGCACATTTTTCAAATTGATGGGAGTCCAAACCTGGCACGTGGCAATATTTATATCATATTAATTTAGGTCAGATACGAAATGAGGGTCAACAATATAAATAATCATAACAGAAGTCAAAATTTAATTAAATAATCGAACATTGGCTGAGGGTATACATCTGTCGGCAAAACCGAGTGATACTTTTCAACTTTTTTCTTAGAAAAAGAGGAAAGAGGGATTTATCTCTTCCTCTCTCAATAGCAATACCCAATATTTTTCAAATTTTAAAAACATTCCAAACTTGCTTTATATATCAAAATGAAAAATTCAAATAAAATAAATATTTAATGGCATTCACATAAAATAAGAAATTGACTTTGCAAAAGAATGTTGCAATTGGCGAAAAACCTCAAAAACAATATGAGAAAAAAGACAAAAAATCTTAAACTAATGAAAACCTCACAGGCAGTGAATGTTTGCCAAGAAAACACATTGGCAATTTATCTCAATAAACAAACATAATTTGTGTCTTTAATAATTATGTCACATTGTGACAGCTGCGGCGGCTATGACACTAGAGCAATATGTTCAACGTTCTCTAAAAATGATATGATGAACTAAAAAATACTATAACTGAGAATGGCGCCCAAACTGAGTGCTCAGAAAAACACAATTTATTTCATACAAACGACTTGAATTCGCCCAAAAATACTTACTCGCTGATTTTGATAGGCCGTCACGGCGGTAAACGATGTCTCCGGGAATATAAACGTCCGATAATGACTAGAATGTTCACTTTCGTCCATGGATGCGTTTTTCGGCGGCAAATAGACGATATGGAAACGTGGCTGATAACGATGCATAGAATTTAGAATAATCTGCAAACAAAGGTAAATAATTTCGAATTTAAATTATTTCAAATGAAAAAACATCTAAGAAGCCCTGTTATTAATTTCAAAATAAAAATAAAATTTTAAAAAATATTTTCAGGTACTCACATGTCCATTCTCATCCAATTGATTGTTGGTCAATTTCAATTTGTCAAAGGATATGATCTGTTTCATCCAATTGGTACCAGGTGCCGGCGAATCGGGGTGTACATGTATGCGGGGCGGTGAAATGGGATCGGCTTTTCCTGCAACAACCCAACTGGAACTATAAAACAATAAAGAAAGAAGGAAAACAAGGACATTACAATGAGTTCACAATAGCAATGTGGGAGACGAGTTTCTTCTAAACGAATCTTGGAAGAATGGGCCTATGATTTATCATTTTTACATGGTAAGTTTCACATCATCATAAACTATTTTGAAAAATATGGAAATGTATTGATCTCAGATAAAAGTCGAAAGGAATGTGTCCAAACGGTTATTGGTGACATTTTCAGAAGATATTCGAACTAAAACTCTACAATTTTTTATCTCTACAAATTAAACTCTCTCCTATTTCATGAAATGTATGAGTAATTTAAGGTCGAGACAGTCTATTCCAGAACCGGTAAACTCCTTCACCATTTTCCGATTCCAGTTCAACTCAATATTTCTGAGGTATTTTGTGTTCACGTAGTTTTGTTAAATCATTGAAGTGGAGTCAAACCTGGCTGAGGTAAACTTTTCTGATTTTCTGATAAAATTCTAAACTAATACAAATACGACTGGGAATTCCATATATAGAATACCTTCTGGAAGACTTCTGTACCTTAGAGACCTCCTCGTCTTCTATGAGAGAAGATCTTCCGAATTTTCAGAAGAGAAACAGGTTGACATTACAATAACAGAGGACATGCGAGTCTCTTCTGAGACAAGATCGTCGGGTTACATTTTTTGGAAAACGCCTGTTCGTCTTTAATGAGAAGACATTCCGACCTTCTCTGCGTATTGGTGTTCTTTAAGAATACTTCCCGTCTTTTATAAGAGGATCTTCTTGTCTTCTATAAGAAGACCTTCTTCTATGAGAAGACCTTCCAGTCTTCTATGAGAAGATCTTCCAGTCCACTCCAGACCTTCTGGTCTTCCATTAGAAGACCTTTTAGGCTTCCATGAGAAGAACTTCTGGTCTTCCATGAGAAGGCCTTCTGGTCTTTCATGAAAAGACATTCTGGTCTTCCATGAGAAGACCTTCTGTTATTCCATTACAAGACCTTCTGTTCTTCCATTACAAGACCTTCTGTTCTTCCATTACAAGACCTTTTGTTCTTCCATTACAAGACCTTCTGTTCTTCCATTATAATTCCTTCTAGTCTTCCATAAGAAGACCTTCTGGTCTTCCATTACAAGAACTTCTGGTCTTTCATGATAAGACTTTCTAGTCTTCCATGAGAAGACCTCCCAGTCTTCTATGAGAAGATCTCCAGCTCTTCTATGAGAGGACCTCCAGTTCTCTATGGGAAGACCTCCAGCTCTTCTATGAGAGGACCTCCAGTTCTCTATGGGAAGACCTCCAGCTCTTCTATGAGAAGACCTCCAGCTCTTCTATGAGAAGACCTCCAGCTCTTCTATGAGAAGACCTCCGGCTCTTCTATGAGAAGAACCTTATCTGCTCTTTTGTGAGAAGACCCTCATTTGCTCTTTTATGAGAAGACCCTCCTATATTTCTCTATTAGAATCTTCTGCTCGTCTATGAGAAGACTTTCTGGTCTTGTCATTCTGCTCTTCGATTTCATAAGAACACTTTTTGGTCTTCTGTGGGAAGAGTTTCTGGTCTTCAATGAGAATCCTTTCCGTTATTCTTTGACAAGTCATTTCGATTCTGTTCTGCAGTGAGAAGACTTTCCGGACTTCCAAAAGAAGACTTTGTTTTCTCCTATTGGAGGATCTTCTAGTCTTCGATGATGTCTCCTTTAGAGAGAAGTTTTTTGGGAACTTTTTTGTTGCTGGTCTTGGAAAACCCTTAGGAAACCCTTATCACATCAAATACTCTCTTAGGTTTCCCGGTACATAGAAAACCTTTTTAGTGTCATCTCTGGAAGTCTTCTACACATAGAAGACCCTCTGGAGGTTTTCTATATAAAGAAGACTCTTTGTTCTTCTGTAATTAGAAAGGTTTCAGGTGGTCTGCTTCATATAGGTGACCTACTGGAGAACTTATTTATAGAGAAGAACTTCCGGATACATATTTTATATGGACGACTTTTAAGAAGTCTTTAATAAATACATATTCTGGAGATTATTTGTACGTAGACCATCTTCTTCTGGCTTAAATTTTTAGAACGACCTCTACAGGTTTTAATATTTAGAACACCTTCTGAAGGTCTTCAAAATATGTCTTCCAAATTAAGAGGAAAGTCTTCAGAGAATAGTAGGACTTTAGAATGTCCTTTTTAAATGTCATGTAAGGCCTTTTTCTATACCTACAAAAATTCTGGCTGCATTCCCTCTTATCTCAAATCCCGCTCCCTCCCACCTTCGATACTTACTTGTGAAATGCATAACGGTAGCGCTTATCATCGACCGGCACAAAATCCATCATCATGATATAGGTGGCCTGCGGATCAAGGCCACCGATTCGCACCTGAAACGTGGGAAACATGCGACGACCCGATTTGGTGACAATCATTTCGGTGCCCTGCTCGTGGAATTTGTCCCACAGCGTTTTGGTCTCCAAAACAACGACGGCCTGGGCCAGCGAGGGGTGGAGAGTTTCTTCATCTTTGTTGTTGCTACTGTTGTTGTTATTGTTGGCATTTGTTGTGCCGTCTTTTTTGTTTTTATTAGCCGATGCCTTCTTGTTGTTGTTATTATTGTTGCTTCCATTGTTGTTATTGTTGTCATTGTAGTGGGTATTTGTTGTATTGGCGACAGAGTCCTCCTTTCCGCTGCACGAACTATTCGTGTCAATATCGGATATTTTCGATTCAACACTTTCAAGTGGCTTATAGCTGCTGCGATCTCTTCCGGCTGTTTGGATGCAAGCTGTAAAGGAAATGAGAGAGAAAGAGAGGAGAAGTGAGTGAGAATGTTTATGAAACATACAAATGTCAAGTGTCACAGTGTTGAGTGATTATGAGGGTCATATTTGATTGGGTTAGGTCGAGGTAGGAAGAAGATTTAAGACCACATCGGAGGACCAAATGGACAACATATTCCCTGTAAATGTATAAAATTCGATATGATTTTAGTGTTCAAAATGGCATTCACTTTTGCCAAAAAATTCTTAATAATTTCTAAGTCATTTGAATACAAAAAAATTCCGAAAAATACCCCCAAAATTTGTCCGACATGCCACATTTGTTCGAAGTTCCCAGCCAAGCGAAAATTGTGTTGCCCGATTTCAAAGCCATTGTTGTTTATGACCCATGACCCCATGATGGCAATACCACCATCATCAAACTAATTGTTTGGCAGTCAAGCGACCAATGGAATGTCTCTAAAAAGAAGAACACGAGACAGGGCGAGAGAAGGCGATAAATTTTCTTTTCTGTGGCTTTCTGGCCAGACTGGGGAATCCTTGGCCAAATACAAAGAATTTCTTGTTTGTCTGAGGGATGCTAGTCGTTTTTTTTTTCTCTTTCGCTAGAATGTTGCTATAATTAATGAATTCGAAAATCAATTAGTATTTGGCACAAACGATCGTTTTTCTGTCAAGCGTGACGGATCTTCTTCCCCAAAGTAACAACACTAGATCTCATGCTCATTGTCGTGTTTTTGTTGTTGATCAGAATTTTAAATAGAATTTAAATTTGTTGTACCACAATTAAATAAACACACATATTTACATACATGTTTGAGCGTGCACACTTGCCACATTTTTTCGACTGGAAATTGGGTCGAAATTAAAACAAAGGGTTGAGAAAAGTGATTTGTTTACTCGAAAGGAAAAATGCGACCCAATTAGACAATATTGTTGCAGTTTTTATTTAATTTTTTTTTTTTATATTTTGATTTTAGGTCATTCAATATTCTAGATTCATATTCCAAATTCAAAATTGTTTATAAACAAACACATATGGCCATTTGGGATGCATTTGCGTTCGTAATGAGACTAGAAGGTCTCCTCACAGAAGACCAGAAGGTCTTCTCATAGAAGACCAGAAGCTCTTCTCATAGAAGACCAGAAGGACTTGTCATACAAGACTAGAAGGTCTTCTCACAGAAGGACAGAAAGTCTTCTCATAGAAGACCAGAAGGTCTTCCCAAAGATTATCAGAAGTTCTTCTCACAAAAGACCAGAAGGTTATCTCAAAGAAGGCTAGAAGGTCTTCTCATAGAAGACCAGAAGAGGTCTTCTCATACAAGATCGGAAGGTCTTCCCATAGAAAAGCAGAAAGTCATCTCATAGAAGAGCAGAAGGTCTTCACATAGAAGATCAGACCTTCTTCTCAGAGAGGGCCAGATGGTCTACTCATAGAGGGCCAGAAGGTCTTCCATAGAAACCCAGAAGGTTTTTCTCAAAGAAGGTCTTGTCAAAGAAGGCCAGAAGAAGTTCTAATAGAAGTCCGGAAGGTCTTCTTATAAAAGACCGGAAGGCCTTCCCAGAGAAGAGGGCCGGAAGGTCTTCACACAGAAGAGGACCGGAAGGTTTTCTCAGAGAAAAGGACCGGAAGGTCTTCTCGCAGAAGATCGGAAGGTCATCTCACAGAAGTTCGGAATGTCTTCTCACAGAAGAGGACCGAAAGTTCTTCTCATAGAATAGCTGGAGGTCTTCTCATAGAAGAGCTGGAGGTCTTCTCACAGAAGAGCTGGAGGTCTTCTCACAGAAGAGCTGGAGGTCTTCTCACAGAAGAGCTGGAGGTCTTCTCATATAAGAGCTGGAGGTCTTCTCACAGAAGAGCTGGAGGTCTTCTCACAGAAGAGCTGGAGGTCTTCTCACAGAAGAGCTGGAGGTCTTCTCACAGAAGAGCTGGAGGTCTTCTCACAGAAGAGCTGGAGCGGGGCGTCTTCTCATAGAAGAGCTGGAGCGGGGCGTCTTCTCATAGAAGAGCTGGAGCGGGGCGTCTTCTCATAGAAGAGCTGGAGCGGGGCGTCTTCTCATAGAAGAGCTGGAGCGGGGCGTCTTCTCATAGAAGAGCTGGAGCGGGGCGTCTTCTCATAGAAGAGCGGGGCGTCTTCTCATAGAAGAGTGGGGCGTCTTCACATAGAAGAGTGGGGCGTCTTCTCATAGAAGAGTGGGGCGTCTTCTCATAGAAGAGTGGGGCGTCTTCTCATAGAAGAGTGGGGCGTCTTCTCATAGAAGAGTGGGGCGTCTTCTCATAGAAGAGTGGGGCGTCTTCTCACAGAATATCGGATGGCCTTCTCACAGAAGTTCGGAAGGTCTTCTCACGAAATACCGGAAGGCCTCCTCATAGAAGAGAATCGGAAGGTCTTTTCATAGAAGGCCAGACGGTCTATTCATAGAAGACGAGAAGGACTTCTCAGAGAAGAGGACCAGAAGGCCTTCTCACAGAAGATCGGTAGGTCTTACCACACAATTTCGGAAGGTCTTCTCACAGAAAATCGGAAGGACTTCCCACAGAAGATTGGAAGGTCTTCTCAAAGAAGGCCAAAAGGTCTTCTCATTGAGGAAGAGCTGAAGGTCTTCCCACAGAAGAAAAGTAGAAGGTCGCAAGGAGCTATAGTTCTATCAGCAGAATACCACCGTAGGATGCCTATCTATCTTTTATATTTTAAGACTCAAACAATATTGGAATCACCACCCTCATCATGAGCTTTGTTGTAAAAAGCTTTAATATGGAGGATACGACATAGTCAGGAAATCCAAAACATATATTCCAAAAATAGGATTATCTCCTATCGCCCTTCACCTTCTCGCCTCATCTCATCTCCAACATCGAAAATTAATAATCGCCAGCAATAAATGTATCAACACAAAATGTAATTGAATTTTATTTTTGAAGCACTTAATTAGCGATTTATAGTCATATGCTGCAAGTGTTGAGTGACACTGTTCCGCCGACGCCACACCGCATTTGTTTGGGGGATTTTCGATGCGTAGTCACGTCAATGGAAGGATGGATGATATCCATAAATATTCGTCGCATAGTCTTGGCACAACTCTAGGTTTCTCCTTACCGGCTGGGATGGCTGAGGGGCAATGCATGGATCATCCCAACAACAAGTTGCTGCAAGTAGCTATCTAAATTTAGATAGAGACGATGGCACACACCATCATCTACTAAATTTGAATACCTCCTCGATCTGCAGATCATCCATTCCAGCTACCATCCATCTATCCACCCGTTCGATGCTGGCAGACAGTGGCTGTTTAAATTTTTTTAATTTCTTTTGTTCTTTCGATTTCTCGTCGGCTGTTGCGTTGAAATATTCCGCCCGTCTGCAACATCGAATTACGATTTGTGTTGTGTTCACAGAAAATAATAAAAACGTGTAACATGAACAACAGAAAATACTGCCGAACATGTGTTGGGAAAGGGGGGACGGGTGTGGCCACAACGAACATGCGTCAAATTAATCAGTTAAAAGATGAAAACAAATATGAAATATGTTCGAAATATGCGCCAGATATCTCTCTGAAGTCTGCTGATCCTATTACATTGTGAATTTTATTTCAATCCGCTTTTTTTGTAAATTTTTGATGGGGTATCTGATCATAATTTTTGGTAACATTGTTGTTGTTGTTGTCAGCTACTTACAATGTGTGCTATTTTACTGGCACCAGCCGCCTACCAGACATAACATATTGTTAACTGGAGTCAGATATTTTCAGTTCTGAAATTAGAATTATTTAATAGCCATTTATACTATTTTCCAACTGCAGAGGATAGAAGTCTTTTAAAACAAGAAAATCCCTTTGAAAACTTTAGAAATCCTTCGTCGGACCAGTCGAACTTGTCATGGCCCACATCATGTGAAAAATTAAATTAAAAATTTAATCAGTTGCCCTGGAACTATTAGCATATGTCCAAGCCTATAAAATACTGAATTGTAGTAAAAAATAAGTGATTGGGACCTTCAAAAAAGACAATAATCCTACAAGGTGAGATACAAAAGAAAAAAAAAAGCTGCAACAAATCAAATGCCATAATTTTAACTTTTTTTAATTTTATTGAATGGAAGCAAAAAAGGACGGAAATAGCATCAAATTTTAGAATAAGTTTAGAAAACCAAATTCGGCAGTTCACCACTTTCGGCCAAGCGAAAAGTAAAGAAGCGACTTGATCGAAACCCGCGTCGCAGTGGCCGAAAATTGGCTCGTGAGCTGAACATATTACAATATTCCATCGGCAAATATTGAAAAATGAGCTCGGGGTGAAGCCATTGAAATTCCAAAAAGTGCAAGAACTTTCTCCGCAACGGAAAGAAAATAGACTCAAAAGAGCTAAAGAGTCGCTTCGCTTGGCCGAAAGTGGTGAACTGCCGAATTTGGTTTCCTCCGATGAGAAAACATTCGTTGTCCAGCGCCGGCCATGGTGATGGTGTGGGCCGCTATAACAGCCGATAGTCGTTCTCCGCTCGTATTAATCAACCGTGGCATCAGAATAAATGCCGAATATTATCGCAAAAATATTCTGGAGGGTGTATTAAAGCCTTGGACACGCAAACATTTTGGCTCAGACGTTGGACATTCCAACAGGAGATTACACGCTTCATTTCCAGCTAACATATGTTCTACAAAAATGTTTATTGTGGCTTTAGGTATATTTTAACTATAGTAGCTAGTCTTTTGCTTGAATATTCAACGGTTTTTATATCTGTATGAGGAAACTGAAATGTTGGTATATTTTAAGCCAAACAGAATAGTTTCCAATTCGGTAATTAGAATCCGTAATGTGATCTATATATTGTAACAGATCGTTGTCTATATGGGTCCACGTTTTCGTATAGTCTCCCTACAATGGTTCTACTTGATATGGTATTTCGACGAACTAAGAAACATTTTCTAAGGTAATTGTTTAAAATTCGGCATTCAGAATTCGTAATGAGATTTACTTATGATGGAGGAACATCAATATCTATACAAAAGGAAAATGTACGTTTGTTTGTAATTGATAGGCTCAAAAACCGCTCAACAGATTTTGCTGAAAATTTTCAGACATATTACAGCAACGCCTGAAAGTAACATAGGCTGAAATTTGAAATTACACTGGGAATCAAAAAAAATTAGATATTGCATGCAAATATTTTTTGATTGGTTATAGAAACAGTCTTCAAATTTGAGATATGTGACGGAATTCGGTTATTTTGCAACAACAACGCTATGTACCTCCCATTACAATGAAATTGTAAATGTGTTACGGAATTTGGTAAAAAAAAATCGTCAAATCATATTGAAATAGGTTCAGATTTGGATATAGCTCTCATATACATTTTCGGAATGTGTGACGGAAGTTGGACTAAAATTCCAACAGTAAAAAAGCACACATCAATATAATTGAGACTACGATTATTACGGGGAAGTATAGAGGTTCATATGCATTGCTATCTCGAATCCTACTAATAGCAGAATATAGGTCCCATATAACGGTACCTCCCGATATTCGGTATTTTCATAATTTTAGCAACATTAATCACCGGAATTATTTCAATTTTCTTCTTTAAAGTTCGTAATCGGTACTACAGCCTATGAAAAAATGTTTGCATGCATGTCCACGTCTTCATAAAGCCCCCATATAACAGCACCTCCCAATACTCGGTATTTTCATGATTTTTGCGACATTATTTACATGAATTTTAACAAGTTTCGTATTTGAAGTTCGTAATGGGTACTACTGCCTATGAAAAAAAAAATCGTATGCAGGTCCAGGTCTTCATATAGTTCCCATGTAAAGGTTATCATTTAAGTGGTAGTTTTCGGATTGTTTTTCTTGACATTTTTCTAGTTCCTTCCAAATGGTGGAGGGTCGGCAAAATATTTTCAAATACAATGAATGGAAACAGTGTTCATTGCGGGGCGAGTATTAAATATATTAACAAGATTTTCCATGGAATTGAAAGATTGGAAATATTGGATCATATTTTTCATAAAAAAAGAAAAATGAGGAAAAATATCAAATAAATGAGAACAACTTATATCAAATAATGTTGAATAATTCTAAAAGGAAGCGGACAGAGATGCATATCTGTAGTTTTATGAAGCTGTTCAACCTCCTTATTGTACCATGATTATAACTTTGTCTCCGTATTAAATTTGAAATCTCGTAGTTGCCGTTCATATTTTTGGGGAAAATTTTCACACTTTTCACTGGTCTCCCGTTTAGCTCGTAAGAAAGGATTTCGTGATCATCAATGCTTTCCCACCCTTTTTAAAAATTTTGAATCGGAAGGTGTTATCCATCGGGCCTCATTTTTAATATTTTTTTTCCTTACATCCATTCCTCTGTAGAATGAAATAATTTATCTTTAACATGGACTTATTGGCAGGATTCCAAAGAGACTCCAAATTAAATATTTATAGAAATGAGGTCTTACGGGTCAGTTCAAGATATAACCACAATATATCTTGAACTGAACCGTAAGAATTTATTTCTGTAAATCTGTATTTTGGGTCCCACTCATGGTACAATGATATCAAGGTAGGGCTATGATACCATATGATTTAAATTTTTTTATTTTCTTGGCTTAATATGTCATCTTTATTTTTTTATGTATGTGTTTTCTTTTCAATAACAAAAAAATTGTTCAGAAAATATTCAAATTCGGGTGTTTTCAAAATGTTTATTTCAACGTATGCATCGACAAAATCTAGAGTTTTTGTAGCGAAATAATTCTTTAGAGATATATAGAACCTGGTTTTGAAAAGAAGTGTTGACCTTTCATTCATTTATCGCGTTTTTTTTTTTTTCAATTATTTATTCAAAATAAATGCAACAAGTTGTTTGATTTTTTATTGTTTTGATACTAATTCTGACATTACAAGCCAAACAGGTAGACCTCTATACTTGCAATTTTTTCAAAGTTGACCTACCTTCTCTTCATTGTACCATGGTCCCACTGACATTTTAGAATGAGAAAATATTTTTTAATTCAACTTATTTCAATATTCCTTCCAGGCGATAATTTTCGACCGAGCATAGACGTAAACTGGCAGGAAGAAGATATCGTTTCATTGTTTTTTTTTTTTTTTTGTTTTTTTAAGATGTTTCTTACAGAGATATTTTTATGGTTTAAATTAAATATGACCTCAAAATTATTATTATTTTTTTATATTATTTAGTTATTATAATTATTTATTTTTATTATTTATTTATTATTTTTTTTTTTTTTTTGCAAAAAATTACCTTCAATTTGTTTCATTGGACTGAGGGTGCTCATATAGGGCGATGACCAATGATCTGTTGTGGGGTAGCAACCGTAATCCGTAATGTTGGCTGTGAGGCCAGCATTGTCCATAAATGGCATGCTGGACATCAGGGCGCTGGAGCATTCCGTGGGACCCATTAGATTGGAATTTGTTGGTGGACGCATGTAAACAGTCTGATGCATAGCACTTTATGGCCACAAATTATTTCACTCTATTTTGGGGGATCACTTTTTTTTGATTTCACTAAAAATAGTATTTGATTTTTTTTTTCAATTTCGCCAATTGTCTGAAAGTAGTTTCACTATCCCAATTTGTTTACAACTTTTATTATTTAACACCTTGTTTTAATTTTTTTTTTTAATTATTTTCCTTTTTTTGCCAACTCATTAAAATATCAATCACTTCAAGTCCAATATTTGATCCATTCACATTGAGGCACATTCATGTCATCACCAATCTTCGATTAACAGGTAGCCGGATGGTCGGAAGCAATTGTTGCTATTTTTTGACACTTTTACTTTTTTGTACGAATTTTTTGTTTCAAACCAAAACAACAACAACAATCAATGATTAGGCGCGATCAACGAATTAATTAAACTTTCAACGCTATTTGTTGATTTGGGGGGAACAGACAGGTCCGTCCATGTGATAGGCAGGCTGGCAGGCGGCTGGTGGCTGGTTATCATCGGCACATCACCATCGATGGGAACGCGCGGACACTGATGATGACGGCTGCTATTGTTGGCTGATTTGTTGTGAATTGACAGTCGCGGCGAGGAGGACGATCTTGTCAAATACGATTTGCATTTTTTCAAAATTGTATTCAGTCAGGCAGTCACTCCGTCACTCATTGCTTCGAGTAGTCGAAGTGCGAAGTGATCCGTAAGCGTGGCACCGATCAACGGATATTATCTGTGTTTTAATGACACGGAGTGTGAAGAATTCCTTCTTTTATTGTGTAGCTATACCTAGGCACAAACAAGACAACGGATGGATATGGATACGCGCTCACGAAACAATACGAACGAGACGTTACGATCGAGTAGTTTTCTTTTGGCTTTGCTTGTTGTCTTTGTAACGGGTTAGACTAAAATAAACACAGACTGTCGAATACTTCTTGAGATTACGTCCCGTCTGTCAGAGGTTCATATCGACAACAGAGCACCACCATCATCATGGTTGCGGCAGCATCATTATTAGCTGGCCATAATACGTAAAGCGTGGCGCGGCAGAGCGAGTTTTTAGAAAAAAATCCACTCAAAATGTTGATCTGTTTATTGGACCAATGGCAGGCACTTTAGAAAGTGTGAATAAGTAGGCCCCAACATTCATTTGGACATGTTGTAGACGTGGATTCCCGTAGTGGTTACACAAACATGTGTTAGTGAGTGTAAATACTGCCACTTGAGTGAATTGTGCATGAGTGGATGATATGGTTGTTGTTGTTTCTCTTGAATTCCCCAAGATCAACAACCGTTTCTCTCAGACACATTGAATTTGAACAGCAACGCAAATGAAATGGATGCAAATGATGCTGATTGGTTGGCAGTGGCAACAGTTCTTTACTCATTGTTTGAGTATTTAAAATTTTTGTAAAGAAATGTTGTTACTGCCTCGGTCATGTATTCATCGACGGACTTGTCTTAAAAAAATCACAACTTTTCTCTTTAAAAATCGATAAATAACTCATCGGTCTGAAAAAAATGTCTCAAAAATAAATTGAAATTTAAAGTAACAATAATTTAATTATACTGCACAATAAAGATCATGTTGTGAATTTTCCAGGGGATTTGGGAAGAAAATGTCAATTAACAAGAACATTGGTACAGAGATGTCCGAAAAATGGGGAATATGTATTCAGAGTCCGCATCGAAATTTTATATTACAAATCTTAATCACCAAGGCATGTTGTAAGCCCTCATTCAATTAAATCTTGCCTCTTTGCCTGTAAAAAGTACTACACCTAAAGAAGGTCGCCAGATTATCTATTTTTTCCACTTCTTTACTAAAGGACTCGGAAAACATCATAACTCATAAATTTACCAGAAATTCATATTGGAATTATTATTTTTTTTTTTTTACACAGTAATACTCAAAGCCAATTTAATAAGGTCGAACAAGTGGTAAATTTCCTATCAAAAGGAAAAAATCGTTAAAAAATTATTTACAAATTTACAATTTTTAACACGGGTACACGTTTTGTGATTAACTTATATTTTTATACCCTTACAGAGGGTATATATCATTGGAACGACCAAAACGTGTCTCATGGAAATAGCGGTTTTAGACCCTAGGGCTCTTTGAACCAATCCATCCGTCCATCTGTCTGTCTGGTGCAGTATCCGATTTAATCATAATATTATTATCAAACTTAAATCGAATTCGGAGATGGGCAATATCGATCCACACATTCTAGCACCTCCCCGCAGAAGGTCAAATTTTCAAAAAAAAAAGGATTTTGCTACACAGAAAGTGAAAAGAATAGTCCGATTTTGCTCCAACTTTGCAAACCCTAATATGTGCATCAGTGCTACGTCAGGTGCGGAAATGACCGAAATCGGTCCAATCCATCAAGTACCTCCCTCACAAGGGGTCAGCTTTGAAGACGGAATATATTGGTCTGCTCCTGATGGTACCTTCTCCACACAAAGGGTCAACATTTTGAATACCCATGAAGCTCATAAAATGCGAAATTAACATCCGATTTCATCCAGGCTTGGCACATCTCAATATTTCTATCCGACTGATTCTATTTTACTTTTTTTTATACCCTCCACGATCTAGCGATGTCCGTCTGTCTATATTCGGTATTTTGCCACATTTTCCAACAGATTTATCTCAAACTTGGTATTTGTAGTTTGTAATAGGTACCACCTTCTCTGGCAGATCCACGGTTTAGTGTAGGCACCATATAACTGTAACTCCAGATATTTGGTATTTTGATGATTTTTGTCACAATTTTCACATATTTTGACTATTTAAAATTCAGAATTTGGAGTTCGCAGGAACACTACTTCCTATGACAGAAAATTGTCTACACGGTATTTTGATGATTTTAGCTGCATTTTTTATACCCTTAGCCATATGGCTACAGAGGGTATATACAATTTGATACGGTCAAAACGTGCCTAGTCGAAATAACGGCTTTAGACCCTAGGCCTCTTTGGACCAAATCCGTTTCAGAACATTTGGAGTCGATCTAGCGATGTCCTTCCGTCTGTCTATCTGTCTGGCTGGTGCGCACGATAACTCTCGAAGGGAGTATTCGATTTGGTCTAAACTGGGTACATCGTAATATTTTTGTCAAACTTAGATCGAGTTCGGAGATGGACAATATCGGTCCACTCCTTCTAGTAACTCCCCACAAAAGGTGTAAATTAAAAAAAAAAATTTTTTGCACAGAAAGAGAGAGGATAATCCGATTTTGCTCCAACTTTGCAAAACCTAATATTTGCTTCTGTGCCAGGTCAGGTGTGAAAATAGACAATATCAATATCAAGTACCTTTCCGCACAAATGGTCAAAATTTTGAATAATTACAACTTTCATAAAATGTGATGTAAGAGTCCGATTGTCTTCAAATTTCACACATCCCAATATTTTTATTAACCCAAGGTCTGGTGTTAAGATGGACAATATCGATCCACTCCTTTAGGTACCTCCCCCACAAAAGTTCGAAATTTTCAAAAAAATATATTTTTGGCACATAGAGGGAAGCAATAGTTTAATTTTGCAAATCCTAATATTTGCGTCAGGGCTAAGTTAGGTGTGAAAATGGACAATATTGGTCCACTCCATCAAGTGCCTCTTCCACAAAGGGTGAACCTTTTTGAATAATTATAACTCTTAAAAAATATGATGTAAAAGTCTGATTGTCTTCAAATTTCACACATCCTATTATTTTTATGAACCCAAGATCTGGTAGTAAGAGGGAATATATCGGTCCACTCCTTCCGATACCTCCCCCACAAACGCTCAAAATTTTGAATATCCATGAAGTTTTCAAAAAGCGAAATCAACATCCGATTCCATTCCAGACATGATACATCTCAATATTTTCATCAACACAAGATCTGTTATAAAGATGGTAAAGGTCGGACAACTTCTTCCGAAATTCACGCACATTTCCAAATTTTCTAAAATTATCACATATCTCATATAAAGTGAAGGAAGTAACCAATATAGTCCCCAACTGGCACGTCGCAATATTTATATCATGTTTATTTAGATCCAAAACCAAATGAACAATATAGGCCCATTCCTTTGGAACCTACTCCATAGAGGGTCAACAATTTGAATAATTATAACAGAAGTCAAAATATATTTAAATAATCGAACATTGGCTGAGGGTATACATCTGTCAGCAAAACCGACTGATACTTTTTAACTTGTTTACTTGTTTATATTATTAAAATGTAATAAGCGGAAAACTCCGTAAAAAGTACACCCAAATCACACAGAGACCTTCAAGATTTTACGGAGCTTCAACGCTGAATTTTGATTCAAAAAATATGAAAATGATTTGGAAATTCGGAAAATGATTTTGAAAATTCGCACAGAATCAAAAATGGAAGAGTGGAGAGTGACCGATATTTTAGACTTTAGGTAGGTATTTTGAGACTTGTGTTCAAAAATTATTTTTTCCGACGCTAAATTCATGCATTAAAAACATTAAAACAAGAAAAAATTCACTTCTTCTCTTTTACGGACAAAATACTTGGAGTTTCCTTTAGGAAATTTTCAAATTCTGTCCCTTGTGGGAGGAGTTATAATAGAAAGTCACTCATAAATTGTAACACCTACATCTTCAAGGCATTAATTTTCACTCAAAGAAAAAATGTGCGCCCATTCCTCTTTCAGATTCCAATAAGAATTGCCACTCTCACATGCCTCTCTTTTTTCTTGAGGTAATTTTACTCAATTGCAGCAACAAAAACAACAACATTTCTTTATCGTTTGTTTACATTATCGAAGGTGCTCAATTCATCAATCGATAATTATGGGACTGACTTGCCGCTGCGTAAAAAATCGATTGTTGTGGGTGGATGGAGAGGTGGCTGTGTGTGTGTATGGGTGCATGTGTGTATTGTTTACATTGCGCACTCTATAACGATCGCATGATCTGTTTTTAAGGTAAACAAAACAAATCGTTTCCAATCAATGCAATTGATTTGCTTATAGAGGAGGTGGGGGATATATTTGGCCAATCATAAACAATAATGGAGATTCGACTAACACGCATGATGCGACCACAAGCCGTTCCGTCTGTGTGTGGAGGGAAGGGTAATTTTTTTTTGGTTTTTGTTGTTGATTTTTTTATACAATTATTACAATTGACTACAATTAATATCGCTAGCCATAGGGAGCTTTGTGTGTTTGTTCTGCGCATATGATGAATCTATAAACAAAATGGAGTCTTCAATGGATTTTCTTATTTTTTTAATGCGAGGCTATTTTTTGTTGTTCTTCTCCAAACAATTCATTCTTGACGGGCGGTGTTCTTTAGTTGTTTGTGTAATGGTTCATTTAAAAAAATGGTTTGTTGCTTCTGCCTGCCCCCAATATAGGTTTTTTTCTTTCTTTTTCTGGTTGAGCAATTTACTGCGCTATTATGTCTGTACCTTCCAAAGTTCCGAAAGACTCTGTTGCTGGGATAATTTAAATGCAATTGCTTCCAATTGAATTTTTGTTTTAATTCGAAATAAGGTTTTTTCTTCTGTTTCTGTTTCATGTCGTTAACACTGTAATAATTATTTTCACCTGGTCCTGATCTACCTATAGTCGATTTGTTTTTTTCGTTTTGTTTTTATTTCATTAATTTTGTATTTTGTTTGGAGAACAAAAAAGTTCAATGTTTTCACGAAGGTATTTTATACAAACAGTAGTTGTGTTCTAATGGTTCTCTTCATGTCTATCCAGGTTGGCGTATGAGAAATAAGGCCTTAAAGGCTTAGAAAGTCAGCTCATATATTTGTTCTATGGTTAAAATTTGCTCTGGTCGGATTTTGTTTCTGAAATAAAATTTTATTAATGGAAAAGAAGGAGAAATAAACTAAGGTATGACTTATTGCTATAGAAAAATAAGCTTCGACGTATTGGTTTATTTGGCCAAGTAAAGAATTGTAGACCATGGTAACCAGCTTCTGTTGATTTTGA